AATACTTAAGAGTATTTAGTAAATTAACTACCCCTAATTATTTAAATACCTAGAAGAACTTCCTTATAGAAATTAACTTATTAACCTTCTCTAGTAACCGCTTAAACTAGAAGGACACTAGATTATAAGTTATAAACTTATATTACTTAAAGAGAGTTTCCTAGATCTTAATAGGTAACTTCTAAAGAAACTAAGTATATTATAAGTATTAATTAAGTACTTTATTATTAGTATATTTCTAGAACATAATAATATACTTATAGGTAAAGACTCTAAGGTTAGTAATCTTAGTCTTATATTTAGAAAGCTATTTAGTAAAGAAAGGTTAGGTTCTAATAAACTATATAAAGTTATTATTATAAAACTCTAGCTTAATATACTTTTTAAGTTTAGCTTAATTCTTATTCTCCGACTCTTTTATTCCTTTAATACTAGCTTATAGCTACTTAGTATAGAAGTTTAGAAGCCTAGAAGCTTACTTCTTATTAGTAAGATAGTAGTCTCTTATAGTAGCTATATACTAATAAAGCTAATAAGTAGTATTAATACTATTAAATAGAGGAAGTTCTAAGGAATCTATTATAGGTATTAATATCTTTAGGGCTATTAGGCGAGATTTAAAATAAGAAATAAGCTAATCTATAGTATTTCTTATATTAGAGGGATACTCTATAGAAGAGGCTCCGCTTATAGGAATAGCTATAGGCTTTAAAGCTTCTCTAGAAGAGAGTATAGATAAAGGAGTATTTTTATTATTACTATTTAATAAGCTAGTAGCATCTCTAGCTATATAGGCTTAGGCGGCACTAAGTCTAAAAAGTAGAGTAAATATTTTAGGGGGTAAAGAATATATTAAATTAAATATTCTATTAAGAATAAATAGAGATTCTTTAAAAGTAAGTAGTATAATAGTAAATAGGACTTAAAAGCTTTTAATAATAATATAGTGCTAATTTCTTATACGGGAAGAGTTCTATAAATACTTACTAGCTATCTTATAGTAATCTCTATAGCTCTACTCCTATTTACTACTTTCTAGATTTTAAAGATATCTTCTACTAATTAGAGTTTTATTCTAGCTAGAATATAACCCTATTCTTTTATAAAGGCGGATCTAAACTATCTAGAGCTCTCTTATAGCTATACTTAAAATAGATAAATAATAATCTTGCTAAAAGAGTAGCTTCTAGCTCTTTCTACTAGATACTATTTTTCTAAACGTGCGTTTTATTATTCTAAACTATCTATAACCTTTATAGCTATATAAGCCTCTTTTAGATCTCTATTTAGTAATTATATCTAAGGTCACGTATTAATATTGGTTACTCTAATCTAAACTAAACCTTTTTAAGGTTAATTTAATACTTATATTATAATACTAATTTAAGGGAGTTCTCTCCCTAACTATAGTCTTAGCGTATTAATACTTTACACCTAGTAGAGTTCTTAGAATTCTTGATATTATTATAATACTAAGTTAAGAGAGTCCTCTCTCTAACTATTATTCTACTTATTAATACTCTATATCTAGTAGAATTCTTTAAGTCCTTAATATCTATAGTTTCTTACTATAATATATCTATAGCCTATATACCGTCCTTAATATAAATTCTAATCCTTATAATAGCTTTTAACTATAAATTGTACACCTATACATCATCTTATAAACTTCCTAGTATAGTTACTAAAATGTTATAGGTAAGAGGTTTAAGTATAAAACTTAGGTAAGTAAGTTATATATATCTACAGAGGTAAGGTATTAAGATAGAACTATTAAGATAGTAATAGAATCACGGTAATAAGTTATATAAGGCTAAATAATATATAGAATAAGTGTAGTATTACTTAATACTATAATATAATAGGTGGTTAACTATCTTAGTTATTCGCTTAATTACTTGACTAAAGAACCTTAAAATTCTATATACGTACTCTATACTAGCTCCCACGTGATAAACCTTCTGCACTACTATACTACTATTACTATAAGACCTACGTGGAACTATTGTAGCCGCGCTATATATTTATACTATTATTATTACTCTTCTCCTTTCTATTCTTCTTCTTACTACTTAAAGTAGAACCTTTTCTCTCTATAATCTCTATAGTTATCTCTATACCTTTTATAACTATATTTATCTTACTTATACCTTCTTCTTATAGTATCTATAGCCTATTTATAAGTAGATAGTTATACCGCTAGCCTAGCTCACTATTTAGATAGAATAGTAGATACTATATAAGTAAATACTCTATATACTATTTACTAATAAACTATAGTATACTATTAGCTCTATTTTCTAGTATAATCTAATACATTTTACTATTTATTTCTATAGAAGCGAGTATGAAAGCTATAATCTCGCTTATGATTAGCTACTTATATTGATATAGATTAGTTGCGGCGGCTTTAATAATCCTAATAGATATAGTAATACTATAATTATTATAGAGTCTCTTTATATTAGTATAAACCACCTATATAGATAGGTTTATAGCTTGTAGTACGCGCTAGATGATATATAGAGTTTCTATATTTAGATTCTAGAACGCCTAGCTATATTACTATAGCTACTTCTTCTTACTAATAAAGATATATAGCTATATAAAGCTAGAAGTCTAATTTATAGAAATCTATAGTATACTAATATAATAGTTAAGCTAGCTATATATATAGACTATAGAGGCACTCTATAGCTACTCTATAAGCCTCTTATTAATATTCACGCCAAGAAAGTAGAAGATAAAGAAGTTATTATAATAGTAGATATACTTATAGAACTTCTATATTAAAGGTGTATATTACATCTACTAGTTTATACTCTCTCTCTCTATAAGTAACTACTATAACTTCTATAAGTATTATCTTTATAGAGGCACACATACTATACTATCTATATAGTAGCTAAACTATAGGTTCTTTTTTATTAAATTCGCCCTTCTCTTTTTAATTTAATATAGCGCCCTATAGTAATAGTAAGCGTAGAATACAGGCTATAGTATAAAGTAATAATTAACCCTCTACTATAAGAATTCTCTAGCTATATTCGTGTATAACTTATAAATAACTTCTTAATAGTTCTATATATAGTAAAAGCCTATCTCTAGAACTAGCTCGAGTATTGCGCGCGCCTATAGACTAGGGGATAATATGCGCTACCGCGTAGAAGTTACTTTAGTATTCTTTACAGCTAATCGGCTTATACTCCTTTACTATAAGCGTAGTATATAGAGAGATAGGTAGAGAGAGGCAGCGCGGTTGCTAGAATCTACAGATAGTAGAAAGGAAAGAGTAGAGTAATTACAAGAGCGTACGTAAGAGATAGAAGGTATAGAAGAAGGAGTACGCCTAGGGTAATATCTATAGAATATAATAGCGGGAGGCTAGAAGGGCTAGAAGGGTATATAGGAAAGAGAAGACTCTATAGAATAGCTATAGGGAGTTATAACTAGGATAAAGACTATATAGAAGATAGTGGGCGGTGCGGTTTAATTGCAGGCGTGCATAGAAGGGAGATTAGAAGGAGGAGGAAGCTAGATTATAGAAAGTTAAGGTGGAGAAGAAGAAAAGAGAGTCTATATATAGCTTGCTCTTATCTACTACGAGTTAGTATAGACGTTAAAAGATTATAAGAGAATAAGAGAATTAGTATTTAAGAATAAGCTCTCTATAATAAAGATATTATTCTAGCCTTATTACTATAGTTAGATAGCCTACACGCGTGATTGACTCTACTACAGTAGATTCTATAGCTCTTACTAGTACTAATAATGCTGTAAAAGATAAGTCTATTTACTTTTACTCTACTTTATTCGCCTAGGTATAGTATACAGTAGTAGGTAAGAAGATTAGTAGTAAGAATAGGGGGTCCGTAGTAGTATAATCTTAACTTCTATAGCTAGTACATAGCTGGTATAGAACTCTAGCCTTAGCTAAAATTTTAAATTACTAAGGCTTTTACAGTAGCGGTTATAGAGAGCTGCAAAGTAGATGCATTAAAAGTATAAGGCTAAACTTAGAGATTATTTTACTACTTTTTGCAATTTCGACTCGCAGCGATTGTTATCGCGGATTGAGTGTTTTTCCTATACAAATTTTAGAGGGAGTTGTGGTTTTTGCCAAGACCTGCACGGCGCACGCGTAGAGCTGAATCAAGTTTTACTAAATAGTTTAATAAATGTAATAAAAGAAGCATATTGGTTAGAGTATAAAGACTACTTTACTCCTATAACTAGTATATAACTAGTATAGCTTTAAGCTATAGCCCGATTTTCTAAATCTATTAGAGTCTGTAATACTAGTTATAAGAGGCTGTAAAGTAGATACATTGAAAGTATAGAGTAGAACTTAGAAAAGCTTATAAGCTTTTAGTAATATCTTACGCGTGGGATTTATTGTAGCGATTCGAAGGGTCTTATTATATAAAGACTATAGTTTTCGCTAAGACGCGTACAGTGGAAAAGCATATTTTGTAATGAGATAAGATAAAAGTATTAAATTTTAGCTAGCTATACTTGTTTCAATAAGAGCTAGTTCTTTAAGAACTAGCTGCAGAAGTGCTCTAGTAGGGTCTTAGTTAATAGGTATTGAGAGGTGTTGCTTACTACACTCTTGATTATAAAAAACCCGACCTATCGTAGCGGCCGGCTACTCTACTGTTGCAAAAATAGCCTTGGAGGTCAGCGCTAGGCTCAACGACAACAACCTTGAAAGATCGGACCGAAAGTGCTCGCTAATGAGGGGAGGCTGGCGCAAGGCTAAGTGCGAATGACAACCTTAGAACCCTGGAAGTCCAGGCGATGAGGATAGCGGCGGGACGGAGCAAGGCGCAGCCCGGAGCAAGGCGCAGCCAGGAACAGCCCCATGTCCATTGATTAGAGGGTAAAGTCGGAGAGCCCGCTCTGCGTTCCTCCAGCGCCTAAAGTCAGCTTTTGGTCAATGACAGACCATACACTATCATCTCGATTTAAGTTGGTTGATAGGTACAATTCATATCACCATGATCAGCGACTTCCTCCGCGCCAATGCATCCAAGAAGATGATGCGAGTTGCTTTTGCAGACACCTCGTCTTCCGACTTCTCTAGTAGCGCCAGAGTATCCAGCAAAGAAACGTTTGAGGTTCAGCAGCACCAGGTTCCAAGCAGTACGCCGGCGAGCGCGAGATTATCATGGACCATCGCTTTTGGATGGCGCCGTGGCCTACTTGGCTGCCTGATTCTGGCGTGGGCTATCCTGATCCTTAACCTTACTGTCTTTCTTATCGCCTACCGTGATCCGTCGTTTTCGGTCCCAGATCGCCGTGGCATACGTGCCCTTACACTCGTCTCTAACGACTGCGTCAAAGCGAAGAGGCTCAGTGTCGGATTCCATGCCCTGATCAATATAATGGCAACCGGCCTCCTGGCAGCATCCAATTACACTATGCAGGTGAGATTATGACTGCTCTCTATAACTGAGGTCTGTTCTAACCTCAGTCTTCAGATTATGGCCGCGCCCACTCGGTCAGAAGTTGACGCAGCGCATGCGGAGTCCAAGTTCGTTGATCTTGGTATTTCATCGTTGCGTAATCTCCGGTACATCCCTCTTCCACGCCAAGTGATATTCTGGACATTGGCCTTCAGTTCTCTTCCCATACACCTTTTTTACAACAGTGCCTTGTTCTCGACCGTGGGCGCTTACGAGTATGGCTTCGCGGCCGTTTCTCCGTCTTATCTTAGCCAGTCATCACAAATGGGCACTACAAACTCGAATATCGATTCTCCCGAGACCGCCAGAAGAGAGCTGTGGTCAGATCCTCCCTGGAGGAACCTTACAGCATCGGAGTGCCTCCAAGAATACTCAGGGGGCTTGGTCACCAGTTCCGGAGATCTCTTGCTAGTGACACGCGAAGAAAACTCTGCTAACCCTATTTGGTGGTCAAATGGTACATCGATAGAGATAGGGTCTGGAACGACCAACTGGATATGCAGGTCAGTCCCGCCATTGGATACGTCGAACGCATTGAGTACGTCGGACTACGAGTGGGACTCCTGCCCCTCGTCCTTTTTTCGAAGAATCGACACCTCTCAGTGGACATTTAACACACGCTGTGGACCGTCTAGCTATCACAGTAATAATGGAGCCTGTCCCTGGTTCACGGTTGATTACTGCATGAGCCATGCGGAGGAACAGCATTGCCAGCTCAAATTCAGCTACTCGATCATGCTCGTGGTAGTTGCGGCTGGAGCAATCAAAGCCGTGACTATGACCGTCGCCTTCTTCACAATATCAACCCCGCCGCTTATTACTGTCGGCGACGCCATTGCATCTTTCCTTCAACGCCCGGACGAGCGTACCACGAGCGCCTCGCTCTGTACTACGGGCTTACACCTGGTGAAAACCGGCCGTTATTACGACAACGATTCACCTTTCCGAGCGATCCACAATCTACCCAGACAAGGTTCTGGAAACGATGCCGCTTATCCATTTGGTCGCTGGTTCCCGGGCCAGTTCCGCTGGCATGACAATGTCTCCCATCGTCGTTTTGGTTCCGTGAACGCCATATCCGCCGTTATCATTTCCGCATGCATCTTTTGGACAGTCCTCGGCAAATACACCGACAATGCTGATCTCAGCAATTTTGGGCCCGGGTTAGCTGTGCCAACGATACGATTAAACGATAGCGTCAGCAGCAACATCCTCACAGTCGTCTTCCTTGCTAACTTCATGCAACTATTGTTCTCCCTCGTCTACCTTCAGCTCAATTCCCTCTTTACTGGGATGCTGATGGGCCATGAATGGAACAGCTTTGGAATAAGCCGTCGACCGCTGCGTGTCTCCTTTCCCCAAGGCCAACAAACACGCACTACGTTTCTGTCTCTCCCGTACCGCTTCGCTGTCCCGCTGATAACGTGCTCGATACTCCTCCATTGGCTGGCTTCCGAATCTGTTTTCTTAGTCTGCATTGATATCTTTCGCACCGGCGGCCGTAGGACCTCGGAGCCGTCAGATTCGATCACTACTATAGGTCTTTCATACCTCGCTCTTCTCATCCTCACCGCGGTATTCTGCATACTAGTCATTTTCACGAACGTCGTGGGCATGTTAGCATTAGAGCCTGGAATTCCGGTAGTCTCCACTTGTTCACTTGGCATTGCCGCGGCATGTCATACATTGGATCCAGATCCGTGGAAGTCGAGCGAGATGCCGCTGATGTGGGGCGTCAATACTTTAGCATATGCTGAGAGGGGCAGTCCTAGCGAGGATCAGATAACCCAAAACAGCAGAGACGAGACGAAGGATAAACCGAAATTATGCTCGAGGAGACTAGCGTTCAGCGCGTACCCGGTTAGCAAGCCGGAAATTAATATCACTTATATATAAACTCTACTAAGATGCAATTGATAGAAAAGTTAGTTTCAGCGAGAAGTATAAACTATAGAAAATATTTAAGTAGAATAGAAAGCAAGGATACTATCGATCGCTTTAAGTAATAACAAAGATTTATTAACAGCTCTAGTGCTATTAGTTAATAGATTAAAGCTATATATCTATCTATTCTATCTACCTGGATGTATATCTATAAGATTAAAGATTTCTATTTTATATCTAGCTTCTAGCTATAGTAGAATAGATAGAAAGCACGGTACTAGAGGTATTCTAAGGCTAGATATAATAATAACTATAAGAATACTATCTGATAATATTAAGCGTTATTCGATTAGCTTATAGTATTTCTATTAAAAGAAGAGGATTAGGTAGGCTAAAGATACTAGTAGATACAACTTTCTATCTTAGAATAGTATAAACTACTATCTTCTAAGATAAGCTAGAGCGAGGTGCTTTATTCTATATCTACTAAGCTCTTTCTAGGCTATTCTGATACAACTAACTATAGGCTACTCTGTATAGCTTATTGAATGTATCTATCTACTACATCTAGTTATGCTATATATAAGATATAAAGGAAGCCTTAAGCGGATTCTATACTTTCTACTGGTAATATACTAGCTAAGTAAGAGTATATAGCTACCGCTTAGATATAATAGAAGCTTAGTAGAATTTAGTCTCCTACTAGACTACTTATATTACTCTATCTATATATACTTTATTATTATATTACTATATTAACCCTAACGATCTATATCCTCTAATACTATATTATAATTATATTATCTATAGGTTAATCTGCAAGGGCTTATAATAGAAGCTCTTTTCTTTAAGAATATATACTCTAAATATTAGATTCTAATCTAGTCTAGACTAAATTAGCCTAGGAAATATATACTAGACTAAGGCTATAAATATACTATAGAAATTTAAAACTCCAGAAACTTTAGTAGTAATTACTTACTAGTTTAGGCTAGTGCTACTAGCGTGCTTCTAGATATTCTTACCCTTAAGTTCTATCTTTCTTCTAAACTACTATAATTTTAACTAGTTTCTATATATTTCTAGCTATATTAGGTTTAGCTCTCTAAGTATTATTAAGGCTATTCTAGCTAGTTCTAGCCTAAATTAATAGCTCTAGGAGAAAATATAATAATCTAGCTATTTCTAGACTAGTTTAATGTAATTATAGCTATTCTATACGCGGAAGCTACAATACCTAGCTAAAAGTCTTTCTAGATTTCAGCCGCATCCTGTATCCTCACCACGAGAATACTAGCTAGTCTTATATACGCATCTCTATAATACTATAGCGCGTACCCCTTTAGGCCTAGTTTCAGCTTTAAGGATAAATAAGAAATATAAGCTTCTACTAACTAACTACACTTTTATTGTAAGCCTTATTACTGCAGGTAAATCTTATATTAAAATCGAGCGTTTAACCGGTTTCGATGAAGATACCGTTTAAAAGATAATAGTAAGGGCTCTTAAATGCAACTTCTTCTATAATAAGCCTTGTAGTAGCTATCTAAAGGTCTATACTAACCGAGACGAACGCCGTATACTCTATATAGTTTATATAGACCCAGGTATCACATATTTACTGCTAAAAACCAACCTTAATCTATTCTTTTTAATAAGAACTATCCGCCGCCTCTTAAAAGACTATAATATTATTTAATAGCGCTAAAAACATCGATTTACTCTTACTTCTAGATACGCTATAGCTTAATTAGTCTAGGTAAAAGCATATAAGAACTAGATAGTTAACTAATAGCATATAGTTATATAAAGTGATAAACTCTCTATAGAGTAGGGTAAGAGTAGCTAGTAAGAGACTAGTTAGATCTTTTAAACACTAGGCTAAAAATAGATAAAGGATATAATTTAGCTAGTCTATAAGGGCAAGCGTCCATCCACTATAGTATTTACTACTTTTAGCGGGTTTTATAGCTATTCTAACCTTTTTGTAATAGAGCGCGATAAAGATACTTCTAAATATAGATATTTAGCTCGATTCTATATCTAAGCCCTTAAAGAGATTATACTAATAATATAGGAGCCTAGCTAGCTCTTTATATAAAATAACGCGCCTATCCATACAGCTAAACTCTTATACTAGTAGTTTAAAGATCACGTAATTAAGTTAATAGAGTAGCTGCTATACTTACTAGATTTAAACCCTATTAAAAACCTTTAGGCTTATCTTAAGTAGTATATCTATCACGTTTATCCTAAAATAGATGAGATTAAGGGTAAAGAAGAAGCACTTAACACTTTAGATAAGGTTTTAATTAAGTGTTAGAACCAAATCCTGTAAAGGATAATAGATAAGCTAGTTAATTTAATGCCAAGGAGGATAGCTATAGTGATTGAGGCTAAAGGCTGGTAAACAAGCTACTAACACTATATTTTTTGGATATATAGCTTTTTTACGTCTTTGTATAGCTTTATATATAATATTATTCTAATATATTATCTAGTTATAGAGATATCTATACTAGAATAGGTGGGAGTCTCCTGGTATTAATGCGGGTCGGCTAAAATCCGGAAAGACTTTTGGCCAGGGACTGTACGATCGATGATCTGAATATGGAGGTGTTTTTGGTTAACTCGAGGGCTACTACGCATTCGGTTGCGACGTATGCAAGGTTGTTTAAGAGCTTGCCCACGAGTAAGATAAGGAAGTTTGTTAAGAGGAGCGTCGCGCCTACGTAGAAGTCGGGATGCCACCACAAGCATGACGAGGTCGTGGCTTTGTAATAGTAGGCAAGCATTATCATACGTAGACGCGGAGACAAAGCAATCAAAGTTTTGGATCTGCGGTAAACACTCCCTACGTTGGTTCGGAAACTCCACCGCTCACCCATTACTACCATATAATACCAAGCACCACTCTCCAGACTCCCCACTACCTATCGCATAACCCACCTCAACACGCCCCCCAAATTCCCTTCCGTATCCCTCCAAAGCCCCAACTCCGTATGCCCGCCCTCAACCCACTTCTCCCTCTCCACCGTTCCCCCCGCCTCCTCCACCCTCATCAGCGTCGCATCCACATCATCCACCAATATATAATTCACCATGCCTTTGCTGCTGTCATCCTCGCCGATCTTTACGTCTTCGGCCACGACCGACAGTGCGCCCATGACGTCGCCTGCCGTATGGAAAACTGCAAGGGTGGGTAGAGGGGAGGTGGTGGTGGTTGAGGAGGGAGGTAGGGTAGGGCGGAACGTCCAGGCAAAGACGGTGGTGTAGAAGGTTTGCGCCCGGGGGAGGGAGTGGACTGGGATGGTGGTGAAGCAGATTGAGTTTGGCGAGGGCGGAGTGTAATTTGGTAGTGAGGCTGCGGGGGTGGGGCTTGTCGTGGACGCAGTGTCGGTGGACATTGTGAGTGAGACAACGGTAAAGCTGCCTTTGAAAGCTGGCAGTCGTGGAAAGCTGATTGAGGATCAATTGGAGATACTTGTGTGAGTTAATATGGTGGATGACAACGCGATTTATAATTTGACGCGAGGTCAGCTGACTTCGTTTGTCCAGTAATCGGATTAGGCTGCCACGCAAGACATTGGCTGGGAAGAATTCGGGATACGCGTGGACATTCTACAACTGGGTTGAGTATCATCTCTTGCCGCAAAAGTTCCCGCCACCGTGGGGCCGCCCGCACCATCACCAAGAGACCACCACCAGTTGTAGTACAACCTTGAGGCGCAGAACTTTTTGGGTTGTACTTCGGCCGGCCATGGACATATTGCCACGATGTGGGTTCCCCTGATTGTAGTGCGAAATAGTTTCTCAAGATTAGGAGATCAGTTATACGCAGTATAATAACGGCATGGTTCAGCATATTAGTGTACCTTTTATCTCCTCCCTAGTGACCATAATATCAGCGCCTTGGAGCGACCTATAGACGTAAGTTGTTGCTGTTCTTAAGCTTTACGGATGGCACTGCGGCATCCTTATCTGCTACGACAACAACATTATTGAAAATGTGTTTCCTCGCGATAAGTACATCTATACGTGATTCGTCCTAGGACTTTCATCAAGCAGGATTTTTCGGGTAGTACAGTTATATAAAGATTAGTCGCAATTTAACTGCAAGCACAAACTTCGAGGGATTCCCGCATATCAGCACCATTCAGCCTGGAGCACCGAACACTTCCATGTGAATGTGTCCTTGGTCAATGCCTATGCTCTCGAGGTCCTTGCGTTGGGCGTTCATGAACGGCAGTGGCCCGCACAAATAGTAATGTGCATCAGGGAGTACCACCTTCTCTTTGATCCTGCTGAGGTCGGCCCTCCCTACGAAGTCGTAGTCCACACCTTCCACGTCGCTGTCACTGACTTCCTCGTAGAACACTGCGCGACTGACCTGGGGATTTTCTGCGATAATCTGGGAGAGAGTCTCTTTCATCGCATGGACCCGACCATTGCGCACCGCATGGACAAACACTACACGCCTCATCTTCCCTTGTTCCACGAGCTTCTTCAGCATGGACATCATGGGAGTGAGCCCAACCCCTCCGCTCATGAGCACAACTGGTGTGGTCGTATTTACGTCGAGCACAAACTCTCCGAAAGGCATGCTGACATCTACCTCTGACCCCTCCGGAAGGGACTCGTGAAGAACATTGGATATGCGGCCGGCCGGTCTGATCCCTGCGGCGAATTCCCTTTTGACCGATACTCGGAAGTATTTACCATTGGGAATATCCGACAAGCTGTACTGCCTTGGTTGATAGAAGCCTATTTCAGGGATGTAGCATCTGATGCTAACAAACTGACCAGGCTCAAAGGTTGGCAGAGTGTCTTTATCGACTGGAACAAGATGAAAGGAAGTAATCTCGTCACTCTCCCGCACCTTGCGAGATATGAAGAATTTACGCCATCCTTTCCAGCCGCCGGGTGTTTCCATGGCTTTCTGGTAAAGGTCGTCTTCGAAAGCTATGAATATGTCGGCTAGCTGTTGATACGCAGCCGTCCAAGCATCCAGCAGGGGTTCGTCCACGGCATCGCCAAGTACTTCTTTGATGGCCGAGAGAAGGTGCTCTCCAACGATAGGATATTGATCTGCTGTGACGCCCAAGCTCGCGTGCTTGTGCCCGATGCGAGCAACTGCGGGTTTCAACGCCTCCAGGTTTTCAATGTTAGAGGCGTAGGCCCACACTGCATGTGCTAGGGCCGCGGGTTGCGCCCCAGTGGCTTGATGAGCGATGTTGAATATATTCTTGAGTTCAGGGTGTGCGTTCAGCATTCGCTCGTAGAAGAGCGTAGTGATTGCGACTCCGTGGTCCTGAAGCACGGGGATGGTGGATTTAACGATTTCCACCTGTCCAGGGGTAAGACGGGAGTTCGACAACGACGATTGAAAGACTCTCCATCGGATAGGAGTGAACAATGCCCTCCGTGCGAAGTTGCGCGCAAGCATGTTGAGAAGATTCTTGTCTGCAGCAGGGTGACAGAACGAACGATGTAATACCACAACTTGGCGATATGCGATTTCACAGGTCTTACTGAGGTAGGTATGACCGTAGTGGTATTTATGCTCGCCAGGCGGGTTCGAGAGCCCCTCATCAGGTTCGTCAGGCCACATTCACGTGCCTTGCCATTTCCGGGAGGGTTAACAAACTGCTTGTTAAAGCTCAGCTTTAGAGCAAGAGAACTCAAAGCACTTGTTACAGACTTCGAAACAAAACACAGCAAACTGGAAGAACCACTGCTAACATATATTATGCTTCGAAGTTTAGCTGGGATCAAATCACGTGTAGAGGCTTGGCTTGTAAGGATTGCGGTATAGGAGATGAGAGGATACCGCATTAAAGAGCGTAAGATACCTTCCTTTTCATCGGCCAGGTCACAGGAGCTCAGATTCCAGTTGTAATAATCCTAATTGCATGCGCTTCTTATCGTTCAAGGAAAATATCAATGTGATCTACAAGCGAGTGGTCAATCTAAAGATGTCTCTCAAAAGTCACAAGATACGCTAAAACGCCAAGATAGCCTTCCATATGAATGACTATTATAACGTATGGTAATCCTGTTCCCGATTCACGAGGTCCAAAAATAATACTCTTGTAAGGCACACTCCACAATCGCAAATGTAAGACAGGGGCAATCCACACACTAATACTGAGAGGGCTGCTGACGCTGGGAGCCCGACTGATGCTGGGGCGGCTGATGCTGGAATGCTTTTTGAGGCCTGTAAAGCTGGGGTTGGTTGTTTGGGGCCAGCTATTTCAGCTCTTGACCAAGCGCCATTTGCAAGCGTTCCATCAGCCATCTTCAATTTGCAGGAGATCGAGAAGGAGTCCTCGGCTTGATATAACTCCGGCCAGCCAGCCTTACCGTTCCCCTCCTTTATCTATCCTCAATCCCTGTAGCTAATTTCTCCATCAAGACTTTCACAGCTCCTGTCCTTCACCTGAGACACCTCATGGTCGAGTCGAGGGCGGCTTTACACATTTGCTGCAGACATTGGCTATCTAAGTGGGAGGCCTGTTGTCTGTCCAAGAGATATTACGAGAAAGAGAACGCTCCTCAAAAGCACCAGCTTGAACGTAGACTGGCGACATGATGGCTATAAATTAAGCCAGAAACCTGCTATTCTCGACCAATTCGCAGCACAATCCCCAGAGTCTGATCTACTTTAGAATCCTCAACTATATTCCTCGTCCCCTCAAGCTCCTCCCTCTCCTTCAAAAAACCAAACCTTATCACAAATCCAACAACAATGAAGTCTTTCTCCCTCCTTGCTCTCGCTGGGCTCTTTGCTGCCATCGTCATGGCCCATCCAGCGACAGAGACCGCAACAAGCCCTCTCAGTCCTCCCGCCGCAAGCCCTTCCGAGGCCTCCAAGGAGATCCAAGTCCCGTGTGGCTGCTGGAATGAATGCACCCTTAGCGCACTTCGTACTGGGGAGAGTGCTACTTGTACTAGAGAGTGCGGTAAGTTTTGTGTTGTTCCCGCTCGCGCGCGCAAGACTGTTGTCGCCCTTGCCTTCTTCAATACTGGCTCGGTGGATCGTTTTTGCGGTTGTGCTGACTGCTATTAGATCCCAGATTTCAGTGTCCAGCGTCGGGCGAGAAAATCATAATCATAATAATCTGGCTTTAAGATTAGCGGTTGGCCGTTCAACTGGGACTAGGTCTACATCGAAGAATAACCGCTTGATCGTCCTTCGGTGAAACCAAGTTGTAGTGTTGGATCGGAAGAGCAACTCCTGTTTCGAAAGGAAGGGCGGTCAGACTTTGGGGGACGTTGTGAGAGTCTCGGGATGCCGTTGAGACTTGAAAGAGAAGGATTTGATTCGGACCAAGGTCATTCATTTAAATGTCTCTATTCAGGATGATTGGGACGTTCATTTGTCGTTAACATGCGTAACGCGGGCCAGTAGCAGTAATCGTTTGTTTGAAGCTGAATTCAATTGTTTGCACTACTCCATTTGATTGATAGCTTTGAGACTTCTACCGATACGGAGAGAACATCTCATTGCTTACACGAAGGATTTTCTGATTGCGATCCATTAAAACAAATTCATCATCGAAAATCCATCTCACCCCTGCCGACTTGATGTCCACCCTTAGGAACAATTGAGCGCCCCCAAGTCTGGTACATCATGATCGTTGCTCCGGATCATCGCCCTGTCAGATTAGCACCAGGCTGGTCGAGTAGCGGCCGAAGGTCGTCATCGTTTCCACAGCCTTCATCTTTATCTTAGCTGTTACTCTGCGCTTCTGCAAGTCGAATTACAACTGCACGCCAACTTTGCCAAGCGTACATGTTCTTCAAAGCCTAGTCAACCTATCACAAATTGTACAGACAGCATCTTCGCCTCTACAGTCGGCCAACTTCACCAGCGCTCAATGTTCCGTCGTGCCGTTATCCATCTTTATGCTCCGTCGTCTTCGTCATCTGACGTGTCGTGGCCCAAAGTGAGTGCCGGAACCTCAAAATCGTCGTCATCATCCATATCGCCTGCGACATCTACCTGGAGTCGCGGACTGCTTCCCGCTGAAGGTTGTTGAGGCAATACGGCTTCAGGAGTGGTCTCCGTACCTGCCCCTGCTATCAAGATTTCACTAACAGTCTCAGCTATTGGAACATCTGGGATGGCGGCAGCAGCTGTATGGGGTACGGTCGGAGTGGCTACTCCTTTGCTAAGCGGTGGCTGCGCAGATATATCGCGACGCGTCCGTTTGTGCGACGACGGTGAACCTCCAGCAGGAGGCTCGCTGCGCTTGGTCGATCGGCTCGCGTTCGCAATGTCCTTGGAGCTGTGCGGCTCTGAAAAGGTCGCTTGCTGAACCTCCTCAGAGCCATCGTCCATGGTTTCGTCACCAAGCGGCACTACGGGGAGCTCGCCACCAGCGACTATGGCGCCAGCCGAACGGCTTTCCGGCGATGCCTCGTTCTGTGGGAGTATCACAGGATCAGGTGGCGGGAACGATGGATGTCTGTCTTCAATGGCCTCAGCTTGATCCTCGTCGGATGCCATATCCCCGTCAACAGGGAAGCCTGTCCTGGTCACGGGCATGCGCGGCCTTAGCATTCCTTCAACTTCCAAGCTTTCAGGGAAAGAGGTAGCGAGCAAACGCAAAATGCTGCTGGCCGCTGTCCCTCCTTTCTTCACCGGTGGATTGAGGGCACTGGCTAGCAGAGCCTCCTTGTGACGATGCAAGACCGCCATCCGATCCATCAAGGTCCGAAGCGATACAGAGATCTGTTGAGCGGAGATTCTGCCGAGCAGGACGGGGAGCAAGCTGTAGGCGGCTAATACGGGACCACTCGAGAGCGATGTCGAAGGCCTGGGTGCGGCGGCGGTGCCAAGAGAAATGTCCATTGTCGTATGACCACCGTTGCGCTTTCCGTTTGCTTGATCTAGACTGGCACCAGTTGCCTGAGAGTCATGCAGAAGGTCGCCGCAGGCGAGTTGTATCATCTGACTGAGTGCATCTACCGAGGTTTTAGTCATAGATGACCCTAAGATTTCCACTAGCTGAATGGCGGCGTGGTACACAGAAGCTCTTATAATATCGGACGTGTTCTCGGCCTTGACTATCCACACGAGCTGATCGAGATAGCCGGGCAGAGTCGAATGCACTGCGTCTGTAAAGCGCTCGACAAGGACCTCCAGAACCTCAATGGTCGCTGCATGGATTTGGGGTAGCGCTACAAACAGGTTTTCACGCTCTTCTCTTCCGATCTGGTTATTGAATCGCAGGCTGGCTTGAGTCACGGCTTCCTCGGTGTTCGAAGGTATGGTCAACGAGAGGAGGCGGTTCAGCAGGTCAGTGATCAATCCGATCCGTACACCAACTGCGGCTACGGTTGGTGTGCGAATGAACTGGGATAACAGCCTCAGTAAGCCGATCATTCTCTCGCTTCCAGCAAAGAGACCGGACCACCCGGGAAGTCCTATGGCGTCTGGTTTGGGTTCGTGCACGTCCGATTCCAGAGTCCCGTGAGTGTTGTGTCCTGAGGAAGAAATTCCTGCTACCGACTCCCAGTCCTCAATGACGGCGCGGAATACCTTGTCAGCTGTACGATGGATGCTGGTGACAACGGCCTTCAGCATGCTTTCCCATTCCTCAGTCGACGTGGATTTCGGCGCACAGCAATGCATCTGTACAAAAAGCCGCCTTGCGGCTTCGCAGGCCGGACATGGGAGAGCAGGGATGTGTTGTGAGCTGCTGGACGGAGTGGGAGCGATGGTTTGGACTAGAAGCTGCTGCAACTGGCTCTGGTAGGACCGGAATATGGTAGGATGACGAGGCAACAACTGAGTGAAGCATTCAAGCATCGTTTGAAGCAGCGCTCTTTGGACCGGGTTCTGCTGCACTGATAATGACTGTGACCCTGCTGTGAACACTTTGAGGCAAGTCGCAATCATGGTAGGCAGAGAAGGGGTGGTAACCTCCCGAAGCAGTGTGGGATGATCGCGGGTCAGTATGAAAATCCTTGTTAAAGTGATCATACAGAGCTTCCTCGTAGTTGGAGGATCCGGCCTCCCCAGTATGCTCAGGAGACCCCTTACCCACGGGGCGCATTTTTGAAGGACTTCATGCCCTCCAACCTCGACGGTGCATTTTACAAGGACAACAGCAGCCCATCGGCCCTCGACGGTGCGGTCTTGGAGCATAGTGGATAGTTGAGTCCTGAACTTGTGACCTGCGGCGGCGGCATCCGAGGAGTCTTTGGCTTTCGCATCTTGAGGAGCAGCAAGCAACTGCTTGCAGGCTGGCAACAAGGCTGTAACGTGCGGTATCAAGGCCGGAAGCTGCTTGGTAGGTGTTGATGATATCCGGTAGCTGACAGCTCGGAGGGTGGAAAGTGAGGACTGCGATGCCATCCTAACGAGGCCGACTGGAACGGCCGCTCCAGAACCTCACCGCGTCTCAGTTTGAGACGTTTGCTTTGTCATACCAACGCTTGATATCTTTTCGAAATCTTTGAAGGCATCCCAGTCCGGCGGGAAAACCCGCTGCCGGACGGAACGCCAAGCTTCCACCCTTCAGGGTCCAAGTTCGCGGTCGAGTTCGAGGGCTTTTGTATAGCAGAGCAACAAGCTCTAGTTTCGCCAGTGATGTATCATGCAAGAGATAGCTGATCGGTCGCGCTCGGTGAGACCATTGCGCGACTTTCCGCCGCCATGATTGTATGTCCTCTCCGCCCAGAAGGCCGTTCGTCTCCAGTAAGGGTCAACATCCTCATCGCTGACAGCAATCAGACACGAGAGAGCGACAAGGCGTTACGGTACATCAATCAATTGGACGAAGCGCGCTGCAATGGTCGTTGGCAGGACGTTCCCGAGCTCGCGCGGAAAGTTGAAAAGCATGCGCCGCATAGGAAATGTTTGTACAAAGTCCCTTGGTCCACAGGTCGTGCTAAGTAACACCTCTCTCCAGGCTTAGCGCTCAGCGCGAGAGCAGAGGTCCAGGTCTCTGGACAGAGCAGTCAGAGGCCCACTACCGCCAGCTCTACATCGTCGTCCCTCCCAAGCCTGATACCCCCTCTACTGTCCGCCATTGAAGCCGAAACAGCGTATGCGCAAGATGCCTTCCAGGCCACGACGTGTTTGGGCTGGATACACTGGGCTTTGGACGAGCCCAGCCTCGCAATAGTACGATTACCAAGGGATATAAGCGCGGCTGTGCAAGGTCTATCCGACAGCGGCGCCGCGCTACAAGATTGGACAAAGGTGTGCATCGTCAAGGCGGCATATCTGAAAGGTACGGATCCGGAAGTAAAAACGACACATACTTCTCTTGCGTGGCATGCTCACCAACCCTAGGCGTATCGCAAGAGCGCAACGAATCCTCCGCTGAGGCCTTTCACACTTACAGCTCAATATTGCCCTACCTATCCTACCTGCCTTCCCTGACATCGGTCGCGCCTCAATTTCGCCTGTGGACCGAGCGTTTACTGATACGCTTGTGCCTTCTGTGGGGCGGTCCGGGTGCTTCGCGAGACCCTACCAGTATGGACGATGGGTTGAGAATATTCAGGGTGTGGGATAGGCTCTGGGAAGGCCGCGCCACAGCTGCCGACACGGAGCAAGGCTCACGAACAGCGAGGCGTTTAGTTTGGAGGGCATACTACGATTTGTTGTCCTCCGTTGTCCAGCGCGACCCTTCCACAACATATTCGGTCGAGGCTTCGGAGAAACGAGCTCTGGCTACGTTAGAACCTTCGCAATACGGAAATACACCAGCTTCACGACTCCAATTGCGTGCGGAGCTGAATCGCGTTGAAGTCACGTATGAAAGCTTGTTGCTGCAAGAGACCCACTTCCCCAAGGCCAGTGAGAGGAACGAAGAGATCGAATCCTGGGTTGAGGCGGTCATAAGCAATTGGCGAGTCTTATGCGGTCCTGGTTGGCGAGACGAGGAACTAGGCGAAGGCGGTAAAGAGGCTGTGGCACGTGGCGTACTTGATGTGAGTTACAAGATCGAAGTCTGATGCCCATTGAAATCGATGAACCATGTGCTGAAGGGTGAACGCAGATCCTCTATCGTGCCGCCACCAAGACATTCCACTCTACGCAGATCCTACGCTATCTGTTCACGGTTCATGCGTCGCTAGCAGAGTTCGATCTCGCCTTCAAGGCGTACAACTCTTACGTAGAGATTGTCACTCGGACTAAAGACCGTGCCGAGAAGAGCGGCGAGGAAGACACCGCTTTGGATGACGATGACACCATTCTACGAACAGCAGCAGAAGCAATCAGACTGTTATGCCGGTTCGGCAACCGCAAAGAAGCAGGAAAGGCGATAGATATAAGTAAGAACATTCAGAAATGGCTACGACAGCAAAGTCCGGCCTCGGCTCAAAAACGAGATGATTACGTGAAAGACATACAGGCAGCCACCGAGACTGCTCTGTCACCTGAGGCCATGGCTGTTGCATATCGTGCTATTGGCATCAGTCAGGCGCATTGGGCGCGTCTTACATACGATATCGCATCTAGACCGACTCTCCAGGCTCAAGCGGCGCAATCGTTTCGCAAGGCTCTCGAGCCTTCTGGCGCAGAGGCGCAACAGCTCGAGACCCTCTATTGCTTGGGCCTCCTCCTTGCCGAGACTAGGGATACTGCCGGAGCAATCAGAGTTGTTAAGCAAGCGCTTACTTCATCTCCACAGTTAGATGCTCTGATGACTGCGGATGGCGTTGTCTCAGAGGGCAGTGCTGGCCGGCCCTCATCCACCTATTCTAGAGAGAGACGGCTTATCTCCCTTTGGCATCTTCTTGCGTTGCTCCTCAGCGCCAGAAGCGAGTTTGATACCGCATCGGAAGCATGCGAAGCTGCGCTAGATCAGTTTGGAGAGCCTACCCACCTCTTTGGTAATCTGGACGAGCCGCACCAATTCCATAACGGTTACTCGAACCACATACCCTCCCATTCCGTTGAGGAGAAGGTGCAACAATTCCAGTACGGGGGTTTGGTCGATCAGATGGAACCGTTCGAGAGAGAAGGCATCATACAATTGAAACTGACGCAGCTAGCGCTTGTCGAAGCCCTAGAAGGTTCCAACGCTGCTGTTGACGGCAGCGATGAACTGCTTGCACTGTACGCACGGCTTTTCGGGGCAGCCAGACAACAAACGCATCCTTCATCACTTCCACCACCGAGAGGCGCGACGAGTTCCGTGAGGAGTAGCATATTTGGGCGACATTCGACGAAGAGCGCCCAAAGAAACGAATCGAATACCACATCGTTACCTCGGACCTCAACAACATCAGGGCCACCGGAAAACCCTCCAGCACCTGCAATCCAAATCACCGATGAGCACGGGGGAACCAACGGCCATCATCACCATTCAGTTTTCCGACACAAGGGTCATCATGACCAAGACATACAGCGGGGCACTGGCAGCCTGAAGCTGAAGAAGAAAAGTACAGGCAGTCTCCGCGAGCGGGATGATGAAGCTTCTGCCGAACCTCCTCCCGACCTTAGCGCTCAACAGGGTGTCCAGGGCCGCTCAGCAGCGCAGGATGGGGAAGTTGCAGATGAGTTCGTTAGGTCATCGGCAGCAGATCCCATAGGCGGCCTGCAAAGACCGACTGTCGAGAGCCCTGAACGCCCGCTGCGGCCCATTGCCCATAATGTGCCTCGCCATGCGCAGCCACTGCCAGTTCGCCACGCACGCCAACCTCCAAGGCAAGACACGCGATTGCCTACCCCCTTGCCTCTCGCAGGATACTCGTCTCCCGACCCCCGCTTTCCCTCTGCCCAAGAACGACGCCACAAGATTTCGCTCTTGATCAAGGTCTGGCTATTCATCGCCGGGTTGTACACGAGAGCAGCAATGTTCGACGACGCAAGTGGTGCGGTCGATGAGGCCTTCAAGTTGGCGGACGGCTTTGAGTTGGAACTGGCACATGAATCATCAAGCAGCAGAGCGTTCGCCGACAAGGGATGGGGCGGCGGCCAAAGTGTAGAGCAGCTTTGGGCAGACGTGTGGACGCAAGTATGTATCTCTTTCCCTGTTAATACTTGAGCATAGGCTTACCTGCAACAGCGCGGAGAACTCGCTCTGGCTCAAACATCGCCCCACCACGCCCTTGACTGCTTCGAGAAAGCGCTCGCACATTATCCCCATCACCCAGCCGCAACAGTAGGACTGTCGAACATCCTGCTGGACGTCTACTGTCAGAAAGTCCCTGCCGAACCGTCAGAAACTGCTGTCGCTGCTATCCCGAGCGCGTCCGCCTCGCCATCATTGACGCCAACAACTTTCGTTCCGATACCACCTTCGCCCCCGCCAGAGCAACAGCCGAGTGCTTCGTCATCTAACTCGAGCAGCCCAGAAGAGCTTAATCGACTGGCTGCTCGTGATCGGGCTTATGGCCTGTTGTCTTCTCTAACCAAGCTTGGGTCCGGGTGGGATTACACAGAGGCGTGGTTCGCACTCGCCAGGGCTTACGAGGAAGGCGGGCAGATTGAGAAGGCTAAGGAGATCTTGTGGTGGTGTGTCGAACTCGAAGACACGAGACCGATACGGAGCTGGCACAGCGTTGGTATGGGAGGATACGTACTGTAGGTTTCTAAAGCAGATGATAAGACAGCAGTAGATAAAGCAAGATACCCAAGGTTTGCAAGTTTACCAACAGTCATATGTATCTCAATCTCTACCAACCAATAGGTGACCATTCCGTCATTCAATCCGACGCATCGAGGCACCCCAAGGGTCATTAAATCTGGTGGATGCTATCACGCCACCCTCCCACTGTTGTCACTTCTCACTCGCCCATCCCGTTGCTCGACCGCGCCAATCACCCATCTTCGCAGCACCTCGACGGTTCCCCTTTTGCATGCTCACACCGTGTCCATGATACCCCATCCCCAGTCGCCTCTCCTAACGAGCCAAGCCTTCTCCGTTCTCGGAATTGCCCTGAAACTCGACTCACTTTCCTTCCTCCACTCCAGCCTTCACTATCCAAACCACCAGAACTCAAGCGGCCCCCCATTGACAGCCTCAGCACCGACGCAGATCTCGATGTGACGCCCGACGGCCATGTCCGACTCGACATCCACGCCTTCAATCGGGCCAAAGGCCGACAGCTGCGTATCTGCCAAACACGATGGCTCCATCAGGGAAGCTGCCGCCGCCATTGACGACGATGCCGAAGACCTCCCCACCATTCGCCGCGCAAAGAATCCAGCACTACCTGACCCTTTCCTCGATGCCGCCAACCGGGCCACCAGCTCCCCCGTCTCCACAGCCTCCAGCCCGCGCTCAATCTGGGATTCCTCACCCTTGCGTCAGGACCTCAAGGCCGACAGCGGCAACGAATGGCACTCGGCCCCCAGCAGCATCTGCAGTTCGCCTTGTACTCGACCCGCCCCAAAGCCGGGCACCGATTCCGTCTTCAAAGACAACAAAAGCGACCAGCCAGAAGAAGATCTAGACATCAGTCTCGAGCGGCTCGCTGAATCGTGCCTCCAATGCCAGCTCAAGCGTCTCCCCTGCAACAGAGGCCGACCGACCTGCTCGCGCTGCTTGCGCATGAACCAGAAGCGCGAGCCGTGTCTTGCACAGCGCCGTTTGGCGTTCAGGGAAATGAGGGCGGGGCTTGGGATTGCGGGGTTTGTGGTGCCGATCCATGGCTGTGAACGCGAGGGAGAGGAAAAGTTGAGGGCTGTGGTGAGTTTTTTCACTTCTCGATGGCATGGGTTGAAGCCGTGTGCTGATGTAGCGCAAGTTGCTTGAGGCGGAGCGGGAGCGGATTGAGCGGTTGAATTGGGTTCTGCCTTCGGTTCATTCGCCGAGGGGTGCATGGGTGCATCCGGAATGGCGATGTCGGACCTGAAGCGAAGATTCGAGTGAAGATGCTTCAGTGCGGATGACTGGAAGTCTGGATCGGCAAGCTGGCTACACCGTCTTCACAACGTCCTGCGCTCCTGTATCAGCTTCTGGGCTTGCCATGGCCTGCGCTAGACTAACCTTCTCCGAGACCAGCACATCACCGAAGTACTCATTCAAGGCGTGGGAACGAAGCCGTCCGGCAAAGGATTGAGGGTTGGTGCATATTGCAAGTGCAAGGAAATTCAGATCTAAGGCGCTAACAATCTACCTCTATGAAAGATCTGCAAGGTCTGGGCTATGGCGAATTCAACAATCTTTGAACAAGGCAACGTCTGAACTTTGCCAGTCATGACAGAGATCTTCCAGACTCGTCCAATGATGAAATGTGAGAATCAAATCATACACACCGCATCTGACGCCAAAGCTTTGCAGTTGTGCGAAGCCACTCTACAGCTCCCGCCCTACCTTGTCCTCTACAGCCGCCTTGAAGTCCTTCGCCGTCCCAACCGGCAAGCCCCTCCTCCTCCGTGCCTCAAACTCCGCCTTGGCCTCATCAATAGCCTCCTGGATGTCGACCTCCATATCATCCGGCAGCCCCAGCGTCGGGCCCCTCGAACTCCGCTCACTTGTTGCTCTCGTCGTCGCGGTCCTGTTTCTTTTGTTGAGCTCTTGCTTCAGGTAAGCCTTGCCTGGCGAGGCGAGGAAGCCGAAGCAAGCCACGGCGCCGATGATGCAGTAGAAGTACACGCGGGACCAAACGAGGAGGGAACTTGGCAGGGTGAGCAGCACGAAGGGCGCGACTGTGTAGGAGAAGGCGAGCTGGGTCACGAGGTAGGTGAAGATGTCGTAGTAGCGTTTGGATGGTAGCGGTTTTTGGCCGTCTTCTGTAAGGAAGAAGGGACGGAGGAGGCGGCGGGCATCTAGTGGAGAATTTAGCATGTCGAACCAGGAGAAGCGATACGGAGCGGAGCATACTCTTTGCAATTGTTTGGAGAAAGCTGGCCAAGACGAAAGACAGGTAGTAGCCTGGGTAGAAACCATGCCAGAAAGCGCTCGTGGTGAACGTCGCTAGAGTAGCTCGGAAGCCCGGCTTCTTGCCCTTCGGCGTGACACGCAGGTACACATAGTTCCGAAGCCAGTTGTTGGTATTGATGTTCCAGTTTCCAAGATATGCGTGCGTGTTCTGTGCCGTCTCGATAGCAAGAGGTCTGACATTCTGCAATCTGTTCCAAGCTGCGCGGCCAGTCTTTGGGTCGATGCCTTTATAGCCGATGCCTGATAGGATACAAGCGCCTTCGGTCAGAGCCCAGACGCCGTAGTACTTCATCCGCGTGGTGAAGCCCAACATGTGCAGTAGCCATACACGTCGGAGGAAGCCGTACTGCATGTAGGTGTCACCTAGCAGCAAGTCAGGATAGTACCAGCCAGAGAATTTGAGGAATGCGAAAATCCAGAGGAGGCCATAGAAGGCTTTCCAGGTAGCGGGAGTGCCACTCCTGGGTATCCTGCGCTTCTTCCGCGTTGGTGGCGCCTTGGAAGGATCAGTACCGGGCGGGAGCTCGAACATGGTGGTGGTGATCCAGCGATGGTAGTCTGCGTAATCGAAAGCCGGCCCGGCGAACAGAGAGGGGAAGAAGAGGACGTAGCCCGCGTAGTCGATTACATCAGGTAGCCTGCGGATGGCCCGCTCCTTTTGGTAGTCAGAGAGATCTTTCTCAGGCAGTCTCCCGTCATGGACGTTCCAGCAAAACGCAGTCAGCTTCATGATCAGCACCATTTGAGCCCCGGTGATGTCGATTTCACCAGGCGCGTTCGCATACTGGCGTTTCAGGTGGTTGAGGGACATGTGCCCCATCAAGAAGACGAAGGCTATCCATGGCATGAAGGGGCCTTGGATGTATGCTGCGATGAGGTATGCGCCAGTAGCGCTGATGAACAGAGTGTATAGGCCATCCCACAGGTCGAATAGGCCGACTAGATAGAAAAGAGAAACTGCTATTATGAAGAGGTTCTTCTGCCAGGGATACCGGTCTGGGATGCGTTTCAGGAGGCCGGCCAGCGGGTACGACAGCAGGAAGGAGAAGATAAGCTTGAGCTCGTCCGTTGAAGCTCCCAGGGCATTGGCGGCGTACTCGAAAGGAGCGTTGATGTATGGAAGCATCTCGTCCCTGTATGAAGCGAGTGTTCGACGTTTGGACGGAGGAGAGGCGGAGGAATAGAAGTTACATCAATCCCGCAGCATAAAAAGGATGGGTTCCAGTTCAATGGGTACACCCTACCCTCAGAGCCAGGAGAGGCTGTTGGGTGTCTGTATCTCGGCTTCACGGTCTGAGCATTCTCGTGTGTTTCCTCTGTTTACTGTTCCCTCTATCCATGATTTCTTTCTGCAGGCATCGCGAATGGACAGGCACAGGGCAGGCTGTGGTGCGGTGACGTCGATGCCTCGGCTCGGTCAGACGTGTCTCCGTTCTCCGGCGCATCGCGCTTTTTGGCTTTGGCTTTGGGAGAGCACTGAGAGCTACTCGAGTACGAGGAAATCTTTGGGAGAGTTGACGTTGGTACGCCATGAAAGCGCGCTCAAACATCATAGAGTACCAGTAATACCGTAGTCGGGCACATGCACATCTGCCTCTCGCAATCTTGAACCACGCACAACGTGTCATGCTGAGCTAAGACAAGCACCGCCGTTGCCCGGGAGCTCCACCAGCGGCGGCAGCACGACTGCTTAGCTTTATATAAAGCTTTATATAGAGCCTCTTCTCGCCAGCAGCCAGCCACTTGGCTACCCAACCGCACCAACGCAGTGTGCGTGATTGCTCGTTCCTGCAGCCTTCGCCTCCCGCTTCTACATCTCACCGGCGCTCCGAGTGTCTCTCCGCCGTTGTTCGCGAGTTTGATCACCTTGTGCCAAGACACGGAAGCTCTGGCTGACCTACATCTGTTTCCTAAGGCTGATACTGACATGTCCTTTGGTCTCCAGCTAGCCCGCAACCTGATCTTAAGACCGGCATCGCTATTACTCGGAGCCCCGCTGGCAGCGCCGTGGTTCCAGCTGGACCCAAGCGAAAGCTTCACCTCGCCCGTTACTACACACTCCCCTACTTAAACCGCACCACCACCCTGTACGTACCTGCCCTTTCCTACAGCCCTCGCCCCTTCCCCGTCATACACTCGCCATGGCTCTGCAGTACTTCACGGGCGCGCTTCATCATCTCGATCATGCGCCAGCCTTGGATGACATGGCCGACGTCCGTTTAGTCACTATCACTAACACGTTATTTGACAATCGACTAGCACCTCACTGGGCTCCAACTATATTCACTGTCTTTAGCGGGCCAACTACAATCAACGTCGACAGTTCGTTGATCAATCACATTCTTGTACTACTTGTTCTGTTCCTTCTTTACAAAATCCATCGGCTTGAGTTACAGCTTGCGCGGCGTTTGTAGCGATGTCAGTATATTCCGCCGATCTTCACGCGCTTGACCACGCTGCGCCAACGCGCGAAAGCCTTAGCCAAGCTCCGTTTGTTTCCCAGCCCTGACACTGACACATTCTTGATTCTCCAGCCATCCGGTCTGCGGCGCTTGCACTACCCACCGCCAACATGGCTTCTCTCTACAACCTGGAGCCGCAGCCCACGGCGAAGGTCCTCCTGCTCACCACCGCTGGCGATATAGAACTGGAGCTGTTTGCCAAACAAACGCCACTCGCATCGCGTAATTTCCTTCAGCTATGCCTCGACGGCTACTACGATGGCACAATCTTCCACCGCCTTGTCCCCGGCTTCATTATACAAGGTGGGGATCCCACGGGTACCGGCTCTGGTGGGGAGTCAAGCTTCGACAATGGCGAGCCGTTCGCAGATGAGTTCCACTCGCGGCTCAAGTTCAACAGGAGAGGGCTACTAGGGATGGCAAATACGGGGGCGAAGGATGACAACGGGAGCCAGTTCTTCCTGACGCTGGGAGAGACGCCGGAGCTGACCGGGCGGAACACAATGTTCGGTCGCATAGCGGGCGATACAATCTACAACCTCATGAAGATGGGAGAGTCGGAGCTGACAGAGGGAAGCGAGAGGCCGCTGTACCCGACGAGGATCACTGGAACCGAAATCCTGGTAAATCCTTTCGAGGACATGGTCAAGAGGGTGCGGACAAAGCTCTCAAAGGCAGAGGACGACAACAAAGCCAAGAAGAAGGCGAAGCGGAAAGCTGGGAAGAACATCCTCAGTTTCGGGGGCGATGAGGAAGATGCCGACATCACAGCGCCCATCGCCAAGAAGCCAAAGTTCAACATGAAACTGGTCAGTGTAGGGCAAGAAGATGGAGCCGTCTTGAACAACCCGCCTATGCCCAAACCCTCAGAGCGAAAACCAGGACCGCATACCAAGAAGCCGATATCTCTCTCACCATCCCGATCTCCACCACCCCAGTCAATCGCCGCACCATCAGCCCGCAACCGCTTACTCACCCGCTCTCCATCATCTTCGCCCGAGCCTCCAGAACCGCAGAAGAACACAGCCCTTCTTGACCGCACAAACGCCCAAATAGCCGAGCTCAAAGCGTCCATGAAACGGACTACCGCCACCGCGCCCTCAGCCGCACCACGCAAGAAGTCAGCACTCGAAGCCATGATCCCCGAGACCTCCACACGCGGCCGCAAACGGCGGCAAGGCGGCGCCACTGGCAACGCACTCGAAGACCAAAAGGCATTGGACTTGATCCGCGCGTTCCAAACGAAGCTAGATCAGGCGCCCGAAGAGGCGTTTCCAGCTCCTACGTCACCACCCAAAGAGTCCACCCCGAATGCACCAGACGAAAGCGGCGATGGGGATGGCGTCCCGACAGCTCAGCCAGCCGATGCCCTGGACGAAGAGGCTGCGCTCTGCGACCTCCATTTCATCGTCAATTGCCAATCGTGCACGGCATGGGATCGGAACCAGCTTGGCGGCGACGTCGACGAGGATGAGGACGAGGGCTGGATGAGTCACAGTCTATCTTTTGCGAAAGACAGGCTGGGCAAGGATCTGGAATGGAAGCGGAAGAACGAGGAGGAGCTGGTTGTCATTGATCCTAGGGAGAAAGCCAAAGAGATCAAGGAGGAGAGGAAGGGGACAAGGGATGGCGGAGGTGTACGTAGGGGCGAAAGGAGTAACGGGGCGGCTAGGCACGAGCGGAAAGACAAGCGATGACATCAGATCGAACAGTCACCAAGAGATGCAAGATGCAAGCGATGTGTAAAGACTTTTAGCAGTATCCTGCTATGCTGAAGTGTGGGCGTACCGAGAAGGCGCAAGCCATGTCCGACGTCCCCCAAGAAGCGGTCGCCAAGGTCACCAAAGTGCCCAACAGCAGTGATGCCAATGGCCGTCATCCACCTTCCGCAATTCAATCGCCACTAGAACCCCAAAGAAACCCAAAGAAACCTAAGAGTTACGAAATCACAGCCTCAGAGCTTCTCCACACCATATCACACCCATTAAAGCCTCTCACCCTCCTCCCAGCTCCTCCCACCTCTATCACCCTCCTCTCCACACTTAGACCACATACTCACTGACATCGCTCTCAGCCGGGCTCTCCATGCCATGCCCACTCTCACTCCCCTCCATCTCCTGCTGCTCCTGCTGCTCCTGCTTGACGGTAGCCGACAGCTTCATGCTCGCCGCACGGCGCCCCCGCGGCGTCGGAGTGCCGGCATCGCTCAGCGTGGCCTGCGAGTCCGCGCGGCTGTTGTGCCGGGCACCGCTGCTGCGGCCGCTCGTGGTCGGTGTCTTGGCGTCGACGGAGCGGGGGGTCTGGGTGGTGTTGCGCGTGGGAGTGAGAGAGGGGATGTTGGCGAAGTTGAGGGGAGGGACGCCGTAGCCGGTTACTGGCTTGGGTGTTTTGGTGAGGTCTTCGTCGTCGTCTTCAGCGTCGCTGGCGGCGGTGGCGAGCTTGCGCTTCTTGACCTTGTTGGCGGCGGCGCTGGCCGGGGTCTTGGTGCCCTTGGTTGCGGGCGACGAGGCGTTCTTGCGCGGAGTGTTGGTGGTGGTGGAGGTGCCTTTTGTCTGAGCTGCAGCGATGCCGAAGTGGCCAGAGCTCGAGGCGCCTTTCTTTCCCGTGGCTTGCTGGCGGATTTTCACAAGCCGCTCGGTGATTGCGCGCGCGGTTGGGATGTCGCCGCGATCGGTTGCTGCAGTGCCATCATGTTAGTCAGGTGCTATGAGGAGGGAATGGGGCTGACTAACGCCAGGCTGAGATGACCTTGTTCGCGTCGACTTTGAGGTCGTGCGTCTCCATCATCTTGACGAGGAGCTGGAAGAAGCCGAGGTCAGTCGTGAGACGGGTTCGCGCGAGCGCGGAGACTGAGAGGCTCGTACGAGTTGATCCATATCTGGCGACCACTTGACAGGCATTGTTGCGGTTCGGTCGATGTCGCTAGTTAGGTGTTAAGAGTAGTCACTTCAAGACTACCGAGAGGGAACAAGAGGAGTTCAGAGGACCTTAAAGTTAGAATTGAAGCGCGATGTGACGTGAGAGGAGAGAAGGGGAACGAAGGGGAATGAAGAGAGGAGAGATGTTTTAACGCGTTGATCAGAACGTACTGGCTTGTGTAGATGAACGTTCGTTGGAGAGTTGGATGTTCGAAGGGTGAAGAGAGCTGAGAGAGGTGGAAGATGGAAAATCTAAGGAAGAGCGGGCAGAAGTGGAAGTGAAGAGAACTTTCACTCAGGTTGCCAAGGGGATTCCACTTCACGTCAATTGAAGCTGTGCTGGTCCGTGAGAGTCTGTCAACTCGTGAATGGGTGCTCCGCTTCAGTCTGTTGCAAGCTGTCCGTACGGCCGATCAACGCTGTGAGATATCATCTGCTTGACCTTGCATTCGGAATGGTGTCAGATATGAGCGTTTTGTACGCTTCCGCAGAGAGTCTGCTCGGGAAATTGGTATCCCTCTTGCTGTGCCTTCGTGTACCTGAAGTTCTGGAATAGATCCTACGGCACAGTGCGGAAAGACAACTTGGAGCACGAGGAAAAATGTAGTGGTTGTGCTCAGAGATCACCTCATGAAGACCTCGGGAAACCCGTCTTTGCCTTGCCAGTGGATTCGTGCTGATATGCAGACGTGTCCTCCATACCACCGTCTACTCGCCTTGACTGATTAATACGCGCGCTACTTCTGCTATCCCAACACCTTACGGACGCCCACAGCTTGCATGTCACAACGCTTGTCTATTACGCGCCCCCGACGCGTCGCGCATTCGAACACCGCATGGAGTCGTGCAACATGTTAAGTTACCTAGGTAGGCTTGTCGTTGTCAAGGAGCTGCTTCCCCGGCGATGATCCTGGCTAGTGCCACATGCTTCCCGCTTCCCCTAGAAACGTGGCGCCCGGCATCTTGCAGGCTGCGGCACAGCCGTCTGTGACTTCCAGATCACTTTATGAGCGATTTAGACACATCTTGTACATGCGCAGGTGATTGGAAGGCGGATATTGCACCCGGCGATCATTTCAAAGAGGAGCAGGGAGAGGGAAAGCCCTCAGATAAACCCCGGCTCGCTGTAGATCTTGACGAGCAAAGTACAGAAAATCACCATGTTCCCTCCGTGCTGCCGAATACTCCCAGAATACCCCATGACCAGCCAAACAAGCAAGCTGTCATCCGCACCAAGAAACCGCGTGCGGGCACCATCCTCTAGATACCTAATCCCAAGTCCAACTCATCGAACTCGGAGACAGGGTTGAAGCGATCGTCAAACTGCCCATGAGTCTCCGAGAAAGGCATCTCATCGTCTCCATCAACGGCGTCCACCATGCTCTCCGGTGTGTCCGCAAAGAACGACGAGGTGGCAGAGCTGAGTTTCTCCTGCTTGACCTTTCCGCCTTTCTTCGGGCTTGCATTTTTGGTGACCCGACCGGTCATGACACCTGTTGGAGACACCGGGATCAGCGGTACTTCTAAGAAGCCACCTGAAAGAGCATGACTGCATCTTACCGTCCTGCGAACCGGCAGCCTTCTTCGGCGCCTTCGGTTTGCGTGGTGTGTTCGGCGCGCTCTTCCCGCGAGCAGGCAACTCAGAGCGACCCTCTGTTTCGGCTTCCGTGATTAGATCTTTCCCCGCCTTCTTGAATAGACGAAACTGTCCCTCGATGCTGTCGTATGTTGCGCCTTGCCCGAAGTAGAAGGCCATCTTCTTGTAATCCAGAGTAACCTACCAGATATTAGTACGATAACAGAGATGCACGCACAGCAAACAGTGCAGCGGATGCGGAGACAACTCGTATCGACACTTGAGGCCATCCCAAGACCACATGCGTGACTGACGCAAGAGATGTTGGCCAAGTATGGGAGAAGCGGTGTGAACAACGTCGGTCGATGACGGGAGAACTTGGGAACCTAAGGGAGAGTAAAATAGAGTAGACAGGAGTGAGAAGGAAAGTAGCTACAACCTTTCCGCCATTTGCATCCATCAAGTAGGCGCAGATGGAGGCGAGAAGGCGCTCTTTCGATTCGGGAGTCTTCCAGTTGATACCCATTGTGAAGTGGTGTTGTGGTTGGCTGCCGTTAATTGTCGTGGATGAAAGTGCAAAGTGGGCGGCCGTGATGCGGAGAGCGGGACGACTCTGTGTGCTTGTGTAGGAAATCCGTATTCGTAGGCTGATGTTGTTTCTGAAGTACGGCTGGGTGTGACGTGTGTGAATCAGATGGAAGGTTGGAGAATGTCACAAGCGAAGAGAGATGACAGTGGATCGGAAGAACAGCGCTTCCACGCTTCAAATACCTTCACTCGCCTCTGGCGGCTACGAGCCGTGCACAACGTCTGACTCACAAGTCTCTCCGCCAACTCACGGCGATGCACTTCACTGTGGCAGCAAACTGGTATGATGGATATCAACCAAGAGCCGAGATGGCTGGATTGAGACGGCTGTGTAACCGCGTAGAGTGCCTGCAGATCACGTCCCCACGCGACGACGTGTTCTGATTGATCAATGAGTCTCCGCGCTGCTTCCGATATCTCGTTGGCGTGGAGATCATCCAGGGACGCGCTTCGTGTCGAGTCATCCCATGCAGATGTGCTGCAGCAAGAAAGGATGCCTGCATATCGTCTACGCCGCCTTGATACTAGCATATCGCAGACCCCATGTGGGGAACGCCACTTCAACGGCGTACTCCGCTACAGATGGTCACAAACCGCTACAGCGAGGTTACAGCAAGCTGTCCAGCAGGGGAGATGCCATCCTTCAGGGTGTAACCAGATCCATGTGCTCCCATCCGGCGGGGAGCATGCATGAGGCTTTTTGTGTAACCGTACCCCTGCGTCTTTCCCAAAAAGGCAAATTACGAACAGCTTATGGCAAGCTCGATGTACTGGACGCCCGTGGGTACATTTAAGCTCCAAGATCATGAGGTATCTGTAGCGCTCCAATTGCATACTCTGTGAACGACCGAGAAGTTCGACCGCGACTGCTCATGCGAGATTGCGAAGGTGAGCGCTCCCCAGCGGGGTCTCTGCGTATCCCGAACACGGAAGCTGAGGCTTTTCGCTCCACCATCAAGTGAGCAGGTAAGCCAGAGCCTAAAAACGTCAGGCCAGCGAATCTGTACGAGGTCCACATCTTCCGATACTCCTTTTGAGGCCCTCGGAGAGCTGCGAAGACGATATCCAGCAAGCTTCAGATACTCATCGGAAACATTACATGGTACTCAAGCGGAGGCCATATTGGACGTCAGTAGCTTGACGCCGCTCTCGTAGATAGAAGTATCCTGGTCCGGTATAGTTTCCTGATGGTCTGAATGCTCTGCCTGAGCGCCAATGGCAGGAGAAAGAGGTCATGATGGTAAATGCGGACGAAGGAGAGCAGAGTGAACGAGGGAACTGAGCCGGGTTCGGTAACCACGTGACTTCTGGAAGTGGTGCTGCTTAAGAGATCTATCGTGACATCTGCTCCTCCTGCTCGCACCAACAATAACCACCAAACTCACAACATAACATTCAATCACTCTTCCTAACCAACAACCTTCTTCAACAACAACATGAGCTTCGCTTTGACCAGGCGCCAGCTCCGCGAACTCGGCTACCTCATTGCCGCAGGAGGCATTGCCCTCGACGTAAGGTTTAGATCCGAGCCTGCGGTACAATACTGACAGCTTCAGGATGATCTTATGGCCTTCTATATCGATGAGATGGCCCGCCGTGCCGCCCAACGGGTACGTTGCCATAGTCTTTCTGGCGATGCAGTGCTAACATGTCGCCATAGGCCGAGCGCCGTCATCGCCGTCGGATCCTTCGTCGGTTGATGCGCCGCATCTTCCTGGCTGCGCTCGGAACGGCAGTCACCCGCCACCAGAACCGCCAAGCTCGTCATGGTTACGGCAGATAGATGGGGAAAGGGGTGGGTGGAGACTGGGCTCGTTGTCGTGGAATTGGAGCAGAGAGCGGTCCTGCGCGCTTTTGTTGAATGATTCGAACAACAGCACGTGAGAATGAAAGCCTCGTCGTCGTGTGTCTGTCCTTGACTCTTTTTCGATATCCTTTGTGACTGAGATGCATCTGAATGACCCTCTTGAAACCCCCCTCGAGTTCGCCACGACTTCCATAAACCTTGCGGCTCGATCTTACTCCTCACGGCGCAAAACCGAAAGTGGGCTACACGTAGCCTAACGGTTACATAGCGGCATAGTGTGTGGTTTCAGCGGTTTTCATGGTCCTCTTGAGGACCCAGCGGCAGAAGACATCGACCGTCTAACTTGTGACTGGGAAAGGACGCCCACTTCTTTCGGACATTGATGGTCCACACAAGCTGCGGACTTAGAACTGCTGCCCGTCCGTAACGGAAAGGCCTTTTCGAAAACATGACAGCACAGCGGAGTCTTGGCGAAGGAAGACTTGTCCATCGACCGCTGCGCAGTTCTTCTCTTCCCGGATAGACCGCACGACTATTGCGGCCTGGCGTATTGACAGCACGATCTCAGCGCAAGCCGGAATGGAAGCTGCAGGAAACAGAGCCGAATCAAATCCCGGCCTTTTTTTGAGGGCAGTTTTCAGTTTCCCCTAGTGCCAGCGCCGGCTCCTCATCTTTCAAGTTAGCTACTCGTACGACGAGCAGTGAAACACTGTTGACCTTGAAATGACAGGCACTTGTAACAGCCTGCGGGTGCAACAGATCACCTCAGCCGCCGCGACAGCTTCAGGCCAGGCCCCGACCATCCTTTGAACGAAACAGAAGCCACAACGCCTCACAATACGGGAGAGTACCTGGGCGGCAGCTGTTCAAAGAGGTAGAGCCGGTTGAGCAGCCCCCGCAATGGACATCACTGCCGTCTGCAGCATTAGGAACAACTCCATGGTGGGCTCCCGTGCCGATACTCTCGCTGCGGGCACGACATGCACATCTGTACTGCAGCAATTGGCGGCTTTCGTGACTCGGAAGCGACACCGAGCCAGCGCGAGGCGGGTGAACGTAATGTGAGCATACTGCGGAGAGCGAGCGGAACACTGTGAGCTTGCTGAACTGTTGTTCGGCGAGCAGGCTCTAAGTAGATGCGCTACCTTCATAGAAAATGTTGATCGTTTGGAAAGCCAGCTGTGGTGCTGCAGTCTTGGCCCTCTGTAGGTGTAGCATACTGGCCGAAGGCCTGATCCTCAAGTGTCAGTCGTATTTCCTACTCCTGTAGGCAATTCTAAGTTCTCGTCTCTCGCTTCTGATCTCTCCGTTCATGTTTCGTCCTAATACTGTCCTGCCGCGACTAGCACCCTTCCACAACCAGCTGTGTAGGCTGTCGGACCACTAGCGGGTGCTAGCGAGCTCTCGAGAAGGCAAGCCGGCAGGAAGGGCACTCCAAGCCGCCGAGTAGGTCAAAGGTGTTCGTTAAGCGTCATTTGCCCTACTCAGCATTCTTTGCGTAGGCTCCTGTTCTACATGAAGGAGTTGTGCATTGTCCATCGCGATAATGCCCGAAGTGGCTCGGAGAATAGGAATTGGTCTGATGCATGGACTTGTCCGTAATCATCGACCCAAAATCGACATGTAATGAAGAGCAGTCGGTCAGCTCGGCCACTGAGCGGAACCACTCCTTTGCCCTGTGGCTGGTACAATGACTCGCTTATTTGGATCCGTGGCCAAGCTTGGGACACCAAGCCAACATTAAATTCTTGAGGCAGCGGATGGGTCCCATCATTTGGGCATAGAGCACAAAGTCAAGGGGTACGCATGGGAAACATCACCGCGGATGTGGGAGCTGAGCCACTGCGGCTTGTATATACAGAGGTGCGAGCGCGGCGAACGGAAATTCACCTGGAACACCTGAGCCGTATAAGTAGTCGCTGCAAGGCAGATTTGGAAAGAGTCGTGATGAAGATGCCTCCCGGATGGACTTGATTGAGCGTTAAAAAAATAGACATCTTGAAGCAAGGCGGTCTTGCCTTCTGCGCTGACTTCGGCAGGCTACTTTGTGATGTGGCTGGGCGCCGTTTCGTTCCACATATAGAAAATCGGGCGAGGTATCAGGGATGATACACCTTCATCGACACTGCTACGTATCGGGAGCCGCCATATCCTTTTTCCGTTCGCAATACCCCATGGCGTGGGCAGCGGCTCTTCTTCCAGGCTCTTTAGGCGATATACAGTTGTAATAATGGTAAAGCCGCCGCGGAGACAGGCCATCGATAGGGCGTCCGACGACACTATCGAGTCTACTGACGCACCAATTGCCGCAAATTACCGTCAGACGAAGACTGCCATAACGAGCTGGTTGAAGAATTCCGGAACTCCAGAAGGCAGGGCAATGCGACACCAGAGTTTGACTGAGGACGGCTCCGATCAACACGACTCTTCGAAGCCTACGAAACGGACGAAAGTATGGTGTGCGATGCATTCCAGCATCGTTTGGCCAACGGCTAATACAACTACTGGAAGCCCAGTCCGTAAGACTCCCGAGCTCTTGACGCCGTAAGGAATTTTAAATGCGGACGATCATATCTTGTACAGTTGCCCAGGCGGCCTGAGAGGCATACAGCTGTGCTCCTGGCGTGCGTCGCATTGGCAGACCGAACATTTCCAGCTGAGACGAGTCTAAAGGTATTTTATGCCGCTGTTATATAGTGAGGCTCGCAGATTTGAGGGACATCTTTTGGGGAAGAGTTATCGCGCCTTGCTACCATCGAGATGTGGAGCCGTAATGAAATGACTCGCGGGCGTCTGGCCAGGATCCATTCTGGCAAAGACGTCAACAAGTACCAGCAAGCGACTGGCTACGGCGGATGTTGCTGGAGGTCGAGTGCAAGGTCAGCAGCGCAATGAATGCACCTCGTCGTACGAGCTTGTTATCCGGGCTACACATCGAGGCCGAATGAGCCGAATGAGGAGCCCTCGAAGCAGAAACAAGCTGACGTATACCGCTTGCAAGTTGCTTGCAGAATGCTTGAGTGTGCTGTGTCGCTCCTCAGTGCTGAAACGAACGATAACTCAAGGCAAGCCATTCGTAATTAATGCGCAGCTCAATGTGAGGTGTTGGGTCCCATCGTTGCAGTCACAATAGAGTTGTGTGGAAGGGTCGCGTGGTTTGCCGATAGAGGAAAAACGCGGACCCTTGATCGCCACAACCCGAGGAACCGACGATGCTTGGTCGAACGACAGAGTCAGGATGGGTGACGCTATGAGACAAAGGATAGATGATGTTAGCGGCTCCTATTTACAATGCTAGCACCAACGATGTCCGGGTCTATGTCACGTTCTTTGTCCCTATACCGGGCTTGGGGAAAGGATGCTAGCGTATCTGAATGGAAGTCGTAGATCTCACGGCGCTACAGTGATATGGCGACAACGGCCCCGAAATCGACCTCTGTAGTTGATGGATCTATCTGAGAATTGGCAGAGTCTCCTCGGTCAGTGGTTCATGGCATTGAAGAAAGGAGAAGACACAGCAAAGCGCTAGGCTCCCGCAAATCTTTTCGCCTCGCAGTTCTCTTGTAATGGCGAATTCGAAAGGGAGTTCAGTTTGATTTAGTTGTGGCTACGTGATTATAACACTACGCCGCGTGGAACACAGGGTCAGTTGTTCTGCTGAACTAGCAGGTGCAAGCAGCAACACATCTGTGAATTGGTTTATAGCTCATAATTGGACTGAATACATCTTGTGAACGAGTTGATGACTTGCAGGAAAAGCCGCAATCTCCAAATGTGTGCTCCCTCAAGATGTGTGCCAAGACCTTTTGTGATGCCCATCCCTAAACTTCCCTCTCCCTTGACAACCACCGCACGCCCACTCCGAGCCACGTTCGTACCTCCTTGTAAGCTCCGTGAACCTCACAAGATCTTTCTCCCACATATTGACAAGTTTTTAGCGCCTTCAAAATGCCACCAAAGACTCCCACCCGTGCCAGCAGCGACGACAAACAGCCGCCGAAGAATAGGCAGAGGCGGCAAGATGATGGCGGTGAGGCGCGGAGGGGTGCGCCTCCACAGCAAACAGCCGCCCCATACTTGACGATGTTCGATCTGGCGCAGATCGCGAGCGCGAATAGCGAGCCGTGCCCATCATGGGTAGATCGACGGGGCGTGAAGCGGCCATATCCAGGGCGAGTACTTCATGACAGCGAAGGCCGCAAGTTCCTCATACCAGACGGAACGATGGTCGCGCCAATCGAGGATGTGCAGTGGGACGGCGGCCGCACCGCTAATAAACACCCAAACATGACCGCTTTGGATGTCTTTCGCACCGTCCCGAAGCAGGTTTCAGCAAGAAACAGTCAGGACCTCGGCGCGACCCTACCGTCACTCCAACAATCTCTGAGCACTCCCCTTGCATCAACCGCGTCGTTCACGAGGTTTCCTTTTCCAGGCGTGAACATACCTTGGTCGGAGCAAGATCCAGAAACTGCTCATGCATTGGGCATGGCGCTCGCACGTCCTTCGAACAGGTACATCCTGCAGTCGCAGCAAGATCCTGATACGGCACTCGGCGGCGGCGATGTGAGACCAGGCCCCTTCGAAAGCGATCGGGCGGTATCTCGAGCTGCTACGAACGTCCAAACACCTCCCGCTCTCCCGGCGGTTCCGGCACATCTGATTCTACCCTCGAACGACACGAGCGACGCGAACGATGCAAACGACGCGAACAACGGCGATCTTTCAGCAGAAGATGGAGAAGAGCCAGGCTGGGAAGACTGGTTGCATCCAGAGGCTCTCTGAACAGCCCAACACGAATGACGTCTCTTTCACAAGAGGATCGGTTCTTGCTTCCTTTCACGATGCGACATCCTGTTCCCTCAGCACCTCTTCTCGACGATAATTCCGGGTACACTGAAACACGGGGCCATGGATTGACTTCGCGCGTTCTTCTGCTCTGATTTCGAGACAGCCACTCTGGGCTTGCTGCATGTGCATTGATGGGCTCGGACTTCCTCTGCGTTGCCCGTCCGGCGAGACGCGAGCGTTACTTTAAAGGACTAGGCTGAGTCCGGCAACGTCACGGGCTTTTTCTTCCGCACAGGTTATTTTGCTTTTACTGACGAGAGATGAGCGAAACGAGAAAGCGGGAAAGGAAGGAAGCACGAGAGTTGCGACTTGCTTCAACAAGCTGAACTTCCATGTATTTAGGCGAAAGAAAAAGACCTTACCTCCTAAACCTTACAGTGTGCGAGAGAGACCTGCATACTTGGGACACCACATATATAAATGTATACACTCTCTCAGTTGGGGAACCGTTACAAGTCCTGATGAGCGTTGAGTTCTCTTGACTCTGGAAGAGAGCCAACGAACGACCAGCAAAGACAATGTCTTATTAGAAACATCATATCAAACCCTGCCAGCGAGCTGCAATCCATCTGCCCCGGCTTCTCCTTCATGGCTACACGTCTCAAGAGAAGTTCCTTGCGAGGGTTCCGATGGTAGTCTCCCAACTCGACGCTGGCCTACTCCGGGCTCAACGGTCCACTTCAAATGTGGCAGACCGTCATCTACTCCCACAGTTGATAAAAAAATTAGTAAGAAGAAGTGAAGCACTTCGGCAACATTGATGAGACAACAGACAGGAAAAGGATGCCTCTGACGCAGACGCAAGTACTCACATCTGCCATGAGCTATATCGAAGATCTTGCAAACCGAGAAGCGGCTAGTGGCTTACGCTGCTTCCGACGATATTTGATGAGGAATAATCAGAAAGACTCCTTGAGCGCCACAAAGACCACATAAAGCGACTCGTTGGGACTGAGTAATGCCGTGGGAGAAACAGAGGCCTCCCAGACACGAACCGAAGAAACAAGAAAGGCATCAGACAAGGGCATATCGTATACATTCTTCACATCCAATGGGCCCTTCGAAAGAGGTACAGTGGTGTCCGAGGTAACCAAGAGCAAAAAGACCACTTAAGAAGCCTCATAAGCAACAGCTGGGGCTCGAAGTTCTAGTCCAAGCGGTATTGAGGATCTCTCGATTATCCTTTTGCTGTATATGTTTCGTCGGATCCCAATAGCAAATATTTCGTGTTTTTCTTGCCACTGGGGCGGAGCTTGTTGCCATGCATCCCTTGCATGCAACATCCGTGTAACACTCCCTGTGTTTGTACCTTCGATGAATCGCAAGCAACCACGAACTTCTCGTTCCCATCAGAGCGATGGCCCCTGATGGACTCAAGGCCGCGCTGGGTGTGGGAGTACCGCCTGATCTCGAGCGTATCGCCGCAGCCGTCGCTCGGGTCGCCAGCAAGATCTTGGTCGAAAACGTGGCGGCAGCGCGTGGAATGGGAAACATGATGAGTTCCTTCTAGTCATTGTGGTCGACGCTTAAGGACCTCGACCGGGTAACTGGGCACTGGAAAGCGGAGGGTAGCAACAGCCCAGGCTCGATCGGCCTTGCTGTGGCGGAGATATTCCTACTCGCTGTCCGATTCCCGACATCGTCTCCTCTTGTCTTAATTTGAGCGGATCTGGCCGACGTCTGTATAAGCTTCGAAGATGTTGGTCGCTTTAGGAAAGCCTTCCCCACCGAGGATGCCCGCTTCCGAACCGGTATTACCGCCTCATCGTGTGATCCTGTTATATCGAATTCTATCAGAGCCAAGCTGTACTGGGCTATTACGGCTCGTGGTCGACTGAAGCTATTGTCGCGTTGCCAGTACGACGAGCGAGGGGCGGGGGCGGTTATTTGGTTGCATGTATGTACCCTCGGTCCCCGCGCCCTGTTTGGGCTTCTCTCAAGGAGCCGCTACAATTGAAGGTTCGTAAGCTGTTGAGACGACAGCGGCTGGAGTCGTATTGGTGTTGAATCCGAATCTACAACCGGATATCGCTGTCGTTCTGCGCTGAGCTCTGGGATACCAGAGCGTTCGCCGGTTGCACTGTGACAAGAGTAACGTGTCGGAGTGGCTGCCGAGCTATTCTAAAGGCTGCTCCGACTTCCTTGCTCCCTCACTGGTCTCATTCCAAGTGCTGGAACTGAACCTAGAGTCGTGCCACGTACTGCTAGTGCGGAGCACCTTGGAGCGGTCTCTGGAGCTGGAGCATGACGATCTCGATGCAGAGTCAAAGCTTGAGCTGCTTTTCCGGGTCAACTGAGGTCTTTCGGGAAAGCCCAGTTCGTACAAGCTGCAAGGCTTCAGAAGGCGAATGCGTCTTGGTGTTGAATGTGGGTTACAGACCTGGAGCTTAGGATGATTTGGTGTCGTCAAGACTTGGCACGAATCCCTGTCGAACATCCCAGCTTTCAAACCTCAATATGCCGACGGTCAAGCGGTCAAATATCATGTCTGGGAGATGAAGTTCATACTGGATTCTAGCAGCTGCGAGATTTTCTCCAGAAGAGCGAGCTGCTTCTCTCTCCACAATTCGACTTGTCTGCATCACCGCAGCTTTGTCAAACGTTTGAGACAGGTGAAATGCTGGTTCAAACAGCTTACATAGTCTTCATACATACAGAACTACTGGCAGATGCTCTGCATACAGCCGCCCTATTCATGGATCACTGCTCGGATCATCCGTCATCATTAGGCCCCAGGACTGGCCAGGACGAAGATGGGTACAGAAACTGTGCCCACCAGGTACTCTTTTGTCAGACGTTCAACGCCAGGGGATTCATCTGCTATCACACTCAGTTCCGTTTCATGTGATGGTCATCAAAAGATCTCAGAGTCGAGAAGAGGGGTTCACGGCCTATTGTCTTGGGAAAACGGAACTCTGCTGATCCCAGCGCGAATCAATCCTTGTAATGGGTCTAGGGGCACGATCTGCCATCAAATACTGCAGAACCCCTACGCAGAACTGTCCATCTGAGGATTGCTCGTCCTGACTGCTGATCGACATATTATCGCTGCCCAAATCCTCACTATTCGTCGCCACATGGCCGCTCCCTCGGCTCGCTAAGGCTTCATCGACCGCCCCTCCACCCTCCCTGGCCCCTTCTTGCGCTTCTTGGCGGAGGTCGTTACATCATCGCCGCTGTCCTCGCCATTGCCATCAGCCGCCAGAGGATCCTCCACCTTCCGCTCACTGTCAGCGGCGGGCTCCGCGGGAGAAAGAGATGGGATTCCTGCTCTTCGAGGCAGAGGCGGCGGAGGCAATGATGCTGGTGGTCTGACAGACGAAATCGAGATGGTGCTGGACGTCGTTGGGGGAGCAGTCTACACAGATCGGACGGTAAGGTTTCTATGAGGGGTCTTTATGAGAAGGAGATGCTACGCTTACCTGGGCCCATGAGAGCGGCGACTGCTCTCGCCTGCTCCGCGGACAGCCCGATGCCACAGATATGGACGATGACGGCGAATAGCTGGCACTACTGTTAGCCCGGAGATCTGGAATTGATCTGCTGCGTTACGTGCCTGTGCGTTGCTGGCCGGGTCCCAGGCCATTGGCATTGTGATAGTGGTGGTAGATGGTTCTGTGAACATGAAGCTGATCCAACGGGGCCGTAAGCCTGCCATACGGTGGGGGGGGGGCTCACTTCAGCTGGAAAGATCTGGAATGTTTGAGATACACAACGGACTATTGAGTGAAGAAGCGGGCTGCGAAGACGTTCGTCGATATGGTTCTGATTTTGTTTGTGAGATTTATGGTGGCTGGATAAGCGGAGATGGGGCGAGTCAGGCAGAGAATGGTCACCTCGAAGGAGATATGGGCAAGCGAAGTGAAGGCACGGAAATAAACTGCCTCGGACGTTGTCGTTACTCGGAGAGCGCAAAGACAAGGAAGAGAGATCATATCGCCTCAGCGCTGGGAAGCTCTGTGCAGCAGACGTATCAAAGGGTTGCTGAGAGGATGACCACTGAGTCAACAGCTTCAAGAACCAATGTTGACAGAAATCCACAAAATGCTGCGCTTTACCAGCCTTTCTGTTTAACGCTATGATTTTCATCAATGAATGTTCCCCAGCCTGGGTGTTATATCCCTCATAGGCATAGCCAATGTTCTAGAGGCTTCTCGAACAGCCAGTCCTACACGACCACCGTCTCTCCAAGATCGCAGAGGCCTACTTCCTCTCCCCACTTCAGCCCTTCTTTCTCACAGCTCCTTTTCCATCGAGCCGGCGGTTCTCTGACGTCTTCATATTCTGCACTTAGACCACCCCTGACAGTGCCGTAATGCATACCTATGCTCTTCTTACTTCTGATATCTTTGTGAATGCATACGGAATCTTCAGGCGCACAATGAACAGGCGACATGAAGGTACGTGGTAAGTAGCAGCCGATGGGTAGCAGAGCCAGATCGAAGGGCCCATAGAGATCGCCAATTTCTTTGAATGCTGGACAGTGCGGCAGAGAATCTTCGTCGGTTATGGAAGGGTCAGAGGTGATGCTCCGATAACCGGTATCGCCGGCAAAGAACATCTTCTTCCCTGTCTTCGGTACACTTTCGAATGTCGCTGCGGCGCTCACATCTGTTTGTCTGTCTATAGCTCTACTACCGAGCTCCTCTAACACCCACGAGCACCATAGAGCTTGCCCGTGGTCCCTAATTCCACGGCCACTGAAGTGCTGACTTGGCGTACAGGTAAGGTTCACCTCACCAACGCCATTTACCGTAATATGGACTCCATCCCACCAATCCAACTCCACGATCTCTTCCTCCGGAATGCCTATACCAAGGTACGCCTGCTTGACACCCAGGGCGCAGAGAAACCTCACCCTCCCTTGACCTCTAGCATGAATCCTCGTAATGGTATCCGAGTCCATGTGATCATAGTGATTATGACTGATGACGACCAAGTCGACCTCTGGTACTTCGTCCAGCGAACACGGGGGCGGACTAAACCTCTTCGGCCCAAAGAACGAGACCGGGCTCATGCGGTCCGAGAACACAGGATCGAAGAAGGTCCTGACGCCTCGAGGTCCGCCAGAAGACGCCGAAGTCTCCACGAAAAAGCTTGCATGACCGATCCAGGTGGCTTTGAGCCCAGGCTTGCCCGCCCCCCAGTCAGGTTTCCGGATGGGCACCAACTCCTCACTCCGAGTGCCGTCCTCGTTTGCGGGAACAGGCACGAAGTTACGAGTACTTGAGAAGCGTGTTTTTAGAACTGAAAGGAGCCCGTGGCTGCCGCCTTCGAAGCTGAGCCATGGGTTCTTGAAGGAGGCCGGCGGATTACCTCCTACGTGATGAGAATAGTCGGGTTGACGGCGCGGGTCGAGCTTTCGAATGCTGATCGAGCCGACACTTTGGCGGGCTGAGCTGATCATGGCGGCTCTGATTGCTGTGCTTGAAGTCTTTCTCCAGATGGCATGTCTGGTATCGTACAATGACCGTACTTGGCGCTGACGTGGTGACGCTGACAGTTCCGGTTGCAATCGGAAATGATCCAGCTACGTTTGCTGCACGGTCACTGGATAGCAGTATCGAGACACTACACATGCTCTCAAACAGCTCTTCATATGAGGCATAGATCGAGCCTCCTTGCCGTCTCCACAATGCATTAATGGGGGTTGAGCGTGCTTGGCAAGGGTTTCGGAGACCTCGGCGAGCACCACGTGATCTGGAGCTTGGACGATCCTCTCGAATCTTCTCCTCCGTCCGAATTATTTTTCGAGTTGAGCATCGCATCGCGTCTTCCCATCCATCCATCCTATCACTCTCTTCGCCTTTTGATTGACTGGAGTCCTGGAGCAAGGCTTTGGGCATCTTGTTACATACTCATTGACTGTGTGCTATATCCATCAAAATGCAGCGAGCATTGTCATCCACAGCGCGGGCATCCTACTCCCGGTTACGGCCATCGAGTTTCAATGTACAACAGCTTCGATTTGCGCACAAGGTACGTCAACTTCATCAGGAGCTTCGTGTATCCGTGTTCTCCCCCTCCACTCTATATACATAACGAGCTTCTGACACCAGCTGCAATAGGAGTTGAAATTCGGTGTTGAGGGCCGCGCAGCTTTACTGAACGGCGTCGACACCCTCGCAAAGGCCGTAGCTACAACCCTCGGACCGAAGGGCAGGAACGTCTTAATAGAATCGAGCTATGGGTCACCGAAGATCACAAAGGGTACGTCTATTTTGCGCCCAACGTCAGGCTGAGTTAATACTGACACACCGTGTACAGATGGTGTCACCGTTGCCAAAGCTGTCACATTGAAGGACAAGTTCGAGAACCTCGGCGCCCGCCTTATCCAAGACGTGGCATCGAAAACGAACGAGGTTGCCGGTGATGGCACCACCACCGCTACCGTCCTTGCGCGCGCCATCTTCTCCGAGACCGTCAAGAACGTCGCTGCAGGATGCAACCCGATGGATTTGAGGAGGGGTACACAGGCCGCCGTCGATGCGGTCGTTGATTATCTACGGAAGAACAAGCGGGACATCACAACTAGCGAGGAAATCTCCCAAGTCGCCACTATCTCCGCCAATGGCGATACGCACATTGGCAAGCTCCTGTCAAACGCCATGGAGAAGGTTGGCAAGGAGGGTGTCATCACTGTGAAGGAGGGCAAGACTATCGAGGACGAGCTCGAGGTCACCGAGGGCATGAAGTTCGACCGTGGCTTCATCTCGCCCTACTTCATCACCGACGCCAAGGCACAGAAGGTGGAGTTTGAGAAGCCGTTGATCCTCCTCTCCGAGAGGAAGATCTCAGCTGTCCAGGACATTGTCCCCGCTCTCGAGGCCTCGCAGCAGCTCCGCCGGCCGCTCGTCATCATCGCTGAAGATGTCGATGGTGAGGCCCTTGCTGTCTGCATTCTTAACAAGCTCCGCGGCCAGCTTCAGGTCGCTGCCGTCAAAGCTCCAGGCTTCGGAGACAACCGCAAGTCCATCCTTGGCGACCTTGCTGTCCTGACCAACGGTACCGTCTTCTCCGACGAGCTTGACATCAAACTCGAGAGGGCTACCCCGGATATGCTCGGCTCCACTGGCTCCATCACCATCACCAAGGAAGACACCGTCATCCTCAACGGCGAGGGTAGCAAGGATGCAGTTGCCCAGCGCTGCGAGCAGATCCGCGGCGTCATGAGCGATCCCAGCACCTCCGAGTATGAGAAGGAGAAGCTCCAGGAGCGTCTCGCCAAGCTTTCGGGTGGTGTCGCTGTCATCAGGGTTGGCGGCGCCTCCGAGGTGGAGGTCAGCGAGAAGAAGGACCGTATAGTCGACGCTCTCAACGCCACGCGCGCTGCCGTTGAAGAAGGCATCCTTCCCGGCGGTGGCACTGGCCTGCTCAAGGCAGCCGCCAACGCTCTCAACGACGTCAAGACCGCCAACTTTGATCAGCAACTCGGCGTCAGCATCGTCAAGAGCGCCATCACCCGTCCGGCACGCATGATCGTCGAGAACGCCGGCACCGAGGGCAGCGTCGTGGTCGGTAAGCTCATGGACGAGTTCGGCTCGGACTTCAACAAGGGCTACGACAGTGCCAAGGGCGAGTATGTCGACATGATCTCCGCCGGTATCCTTGACCCCTTCAAGGTTGTGCGGACGGCGCTCGTTGATGCCAGCGGCGTAGCGTCGCTACTCGGCACGACCGAGGTGGCGATCGTGGAGGCGCCAGAGGAGAAGGGCCCGCCGGCCGGTGGTATGGGCGGTATGGGAGGTATGGGTGGCATGGGCGGCGGCATGTTCTAGATGTACTGTGGTAATACTCTGCCTTTCTTGTATACCCACCCTTGCCCTTGCATTCTCAGATGTATCTTGGAAGAATCTCTGCACTCCACTCTGGGCGCATTTTGTCGTTTCTAAGTTGCATTGCGTGCGGATGGATGGGGTTGTAGATTAGTGTATCAGCATAGGCCGTCTCGTGGCGGACACAATGTAAAAGCGTCAAACTTGTTCACTATAACGAGTCCGTCTTCTTCGAGGCTTGTCAACGCATCACTTGCCTCGGAAAGCTCCCTAGGATTTTTTTGTGCCCGTGGACGACAATCGGATACATGCACGGTACGGCGGTGAAGACTACTGAGCATGATACCATTCGATCATGCGGACTCGAGCTTTACATCGCCAGCTACTGATGGTCTCCTGATACTACCGTCTTATTTCAATCGACTTTGATATCAAGGGCTCGCTGCTTTAGCTTGTAGCCACAAGGCTTTGTGTGTATTAGTGAAGCACGGGGAGGCTACTCGGTCATCACAGCTCCATGTTTGGGCTGAGCTCCCCGAACACGACCGGAATTTCGATTCTGAAGGCCCCAAAACTGCTGGCGAAGGCATGAACAGGCAGAACAGCGCCAAGATCTGCCCTCGTTGCAATAAACTGTAGCCTGCGGTGCATTCGTAACACTCTGACGCTCCGCCGCCCCACCGCTGTCGTGGTGTTTTGACGAGAGGCCCCACCAATCGAAGACCCCTCCAAATTCGCAGCCTCGACCGCGATCTTCTCAGCAGTCAACAACATCCACAAACTTCAACTTCCACTTGCGCCGTACAACATCTTGGACATCCGACTCAGGACAAACACCACTGTCAGTGCAGCTACTTTGCTGGAGCGAACACAGACCATTCTGGCATTCTGCTACCCTGTAGCTGACGACGCTGATAGCGTGTTGCCCCTACACCAAACATCCCCACTGCTTCTACTCCCCTCTTGTAGACTGCTATCATGGTAAGTTCGTAACGAAGCCATTGACACTGCGCCCGCTGACTGCTGCTGCTCAGGCTTCATCCGGGTATGTACTCCTGCTCGCCTGACCCGCGCCATCACTCCTTCACGGTCATCCGCCATACCGCGAACCCGGGCACCCAACCAATCCACTTCCCAAGCTACGCAGCATTGTCACCCAACACGACGTACTAACACACATCCTCCTCCAGCGTCTCAGTCCACCCCGACTGCATCAGCGCCTTCAACGAGCTCAAGCTAGGCAAGGACATCAAATACATCATCTACAAGATCAGCGACGACTGGAAGGAGATTGTGGTCGAAGAGACGTCCAAAGAAGCCGACTTCCAGACCTTCCGCGAGAAGCTGCTGAGCGCCAAGTCCAAAGACAGGCGCGGCAAGGAGGGCATCGGCGGCCGGTACGCCGTCTACGACATGGAGTATGAGCTGGAGAGCGGAGAGGGCAAGCGGAGCAAGATCACGTTTATCAGCTGGTGCCCGGATGATGCGCCGCAATATGTGAGTTTCAGAGGGTCCTAGGCCATGGTGCTGTGGAAAGGAAGGGAAAGTAGGCATGCGGGTCGGTGCTGATGTGTTCGTAGCCTCGTATGATGTACTCGTCCTCCAAGGATGCCATCAAGCGCGCCCTGAACGGCCTGGCGGCAGACATTCAAGCCAACGACGCCGACGACATCGAGTACGAGAACATCATCTCGCGGGTCAGCAAGGGCCGTTAAGCGGCCTCGTCGCGAAATCTCCGAGCTGTCAGTGGCATGGTTGGACCATTACAGAGAGAGGCCGGAGGAGCGCTGGCGGATGTTTGGCAGGCGCCGGGCCGACTTGTGGTCTGGCAGTTGGCGCTGATTTGTTTTCGAGCGATGAGGTATGATTGCTGGGATAGAGATGGGACAAAAACGTGACTTCTTACATCATGAACGGTATGCAGGCCTTGTCACAGCACGGAACGTTTCTGGGTGCACTTGATTGCTGGCCGTTCTCACTAAACACTCACCTGTCGGACCTGACCACATTTGGTATCGTAACACATGGCACTCATGTACAACCGATCAATCACCGTCCGATTCTCCAAAAGATTCCCCAACCCCTTCCCTTACGGCCTCCCATTGCTACTCTCCCAAGCCCCCTTAAACAATCCGGCCAACCTCACCGCCTCTCCTTCGTCTCTGAGCCTCTGCACAAGGAAGTCCTTAAGATCAGACCAAAAGTCCTCCGTCTGCAGCACATCTGCCCCGCTTCTTTCAACCCCAGACGTACCACTCCCAGCCGGCTCCCCCGCGTCCGTCATCTCCACCTCCGGCGCCGGGGCCTCGAGAGGCGGCGAAGCTACCACGGGCTCTTCAGACACCGGAGCTGGAGCGGCCGCCGGTACCGAAACCGCCGGCGAGGGTGCTGAAGCCGCGCCCGTACCTGCACCCGGCATAACCATTACCGCAAACTCCACTCCCTTCGTCCCCTCCTCAAGCCCTGTGCCCAGGATCTCGGCCACCGTCTTGGTGTCTGCGCACGGCTTCTTCGCGAACAGCAGCTTGAGCTTGTCAGCGCTGACGCCGTGCTGGGCCGCGAATGCGGTCTTGAGATCGAGGGCGGAGGTCGTCGCGGGGTTCTGGTCCGGGAGAGTCAGGGACTGGGATGCGTTGCGCAGGTTGTGCAGGGTGATCGTCAGGGTGGGCGTGGAGGTGGAGCTGGCAGAGGTGGGGGAGGTGCGTTTGCGTTTGGTGGTCGGCATTTTGGGGAGGATGTACTAGGGCTATTAGCGCGGATTGTGGGATAGGTGCAAGGCAATGAGGAGAGGAGGGACTCACAGCTCCCGTTGCGGGGTACGTCTTTGGGTCTGCGACATGGTCACTCGATAGTTTGATCGGCCGGCTGTCGAGCGCGGTCAGGAACTGCTTCGCGAAGGTCGCTTCGCTCATGGCGTCCTTCTTGGGCAGGAGACGCCCGGCGAGCGCGGCTTGATTCTGGTAGGAAAACATTTGGTGGATTTCTAGCGTGAGGTAGGTAGTCTTCTCTGTCTATAAGGGTTCTGGGTTTGGTGATGTCCAGCGTCATGGTGGTGGTGGAGTCTCGGAGCTTAGCTTAGGGCGGTGAGCGGCGAGCTTCGGCAGAAATTTTGGTAACTCGAGAAAATCCCCGCGAGCGACCACGAAAGGCGACAATATATCAAACCATCGTGCGTTGCGAGACGTCAGGTCAGAAAATAAAGCTAGGTAAAATCAAGATGGGCGTCGGACGTCGCATGAAGAAGCAAGGCCCGCCGCCTCCCCTCGACGAATCTCTCGTCTCGAGAAAGCGCAAAGATATACCCGCCGAAGCCCCCAATGGCCAGAGCAAGAAGCGGAGGACGTCTCAAGACACCCTTACAGCTAAACCTAAGAAGACGGTAGCGACTAGATCCTCAGCTCTGAAGCCAGCAAATTCGGCCGCGAAGAAGACCACGAAGGGTAGTTTTGGGAACGGCAAGGTGTCGCAGACGGAGAAGGGCAGGCCAAACGAGGTGCGAAAGAGAGCTGGAAAGAAAGCGCCCTTGCCGTTACCGCCTGCAGAAGCAGATGACGACGAGTCTCCGGAGGACGTCTTGGAAGGAGAGGATATGGACCGCGCGGAGGAGGATGGCGTTGAAGAAGATGAGCCATCCGATGCTGATGTCCAGGATCTGAACGGACTCGGATCAGACGCGTCAGATGTCGAGGACGGCGATGACTTCCTAGGTCTAGATTCAGACGTAGTGGACACGGACGAGGAGGCGCCGAAGCAAGGCATGTGGTCTGATGACGAAGACGATGAAGACGCCGCAGAGAAGCTCACAGCCGCAAATATTGAGGGTCTATCGAGGCGACTGGACATGCGAAAGGCGATCGAAGAGGCCGAGGCGCAAGCGGAGCTCGAGGAATCAGCTATGCAAACGAATATTGCTGGCGACCGGCCTAAGGTACTGGACGACGAGGCTGAGGATGAAGACCAGGCTGGTAGACCCTCGCTGCTGGCGCCAGATCTGCAGCTTCTGCGAACAAGGATTACAGAGACCATCCGCGTGCTGGACGACTTCTCCAAGCTTGCTGAGCCGGGCCGTTCTCGCGCGGAATACACAGCTCAGCTCATCAAGGACATCTGCGCATATTACAGCTACTCGCCATTCTTGGCTGAGAAGCTGTTCAATCTCTTCCCTCCCCGGGAAGCGTTTGCGTTTTTCGAGGCGAACGAGACCCCCAGACCCCTAGTCATACGCACGAACACCCTACGCACACATCGCCGAGAACTGGCGCAAAAGTTGATCAACCGCGGTGTCACGCTCGAGCCTGTCGGCAAATGGTCAAAGGTCGGTCTACAAGTCTTCGAGAGCCAAGTGCCGCTCGGAGCTACACCAGAATACCTGGCCGGCCACTACATACTGCAAGCAGCAAGTTCCTTCCTGCCCGTCATGGCACTCGCGCCCCAAGAACACGAGCGCATCCTCGACATGGCAGCGGCTCCCGGCGGCAAAACAACCTACATGGCCGCCCTGATGAAGAACACGGGGTGCGTCTTCGCCAACGATGCCAACAAGAGCAGAGCCAAGGGCCTGATCGGCAACATCCACCGACTTGGCGTCAAGAACACTATCGTGTGCAACTACGACGCGATGGAGTTCCCCCGAGTAATCGGCGGCTTCGACCGCGTCTTGCTGGATGCGCCATGCTCGGGCACGGGCGTCATAGCAAAGGACGCCTCTGTCAAGACGAATAAGACCCCCACGGATTTCCTAAGACTACCGCACCTGCAGAAAAACCTGCTGCTTGCCGCCATCGACTCGGTCGACCACGCGTCCAAGACTGGCGGCTACATCGTCTACTCCACCTGCTCTGTCACGGTCGAGGAGAACGAGCAGGTGGTCCAGTACGCGCTGAACAAGCGGCCGAATATCAAGCTCGTCTCTACTGGGCTTACCTTCGGGAAAGAGGGCTTCGTTTCCTACATGGGCAAGAAGTTCAGTCCGTCGATGAAGGAGACGAGACGGTACTACCCGCATGCGTACAATGTCGATGGCTTCTTCGTTGCTAAGTTCAAGAAGACGGGCCCGACGCCGGCGGGCGCGGTCAATGCGCCTGCGACTGGTGGTGTCAAGGCTAATGGAGCGGTCAAGGCGAGTGACGAGGAGGTGGTGGATAGGACGCCTGTTACGGCTGATGAGGGAGATGGTACAGAAGGTGACTTTGGGGGATGGGACGAGGAAGAGGACAATGTATACATTGAGCGCGCGCGCAAAGCGGCACTGAGGCGGAAGGGCAAAGATCCGAGGGCACTAATGAAAGGGAAGGCTGGCAGTGGGAAGCAGGCGGGTACAGTGGACGAGGCTGAGAAGGTCACGGCCGAGAAAGTTGATGGGGAGGTTGCCGCGCAAGAGGAAGAGCGCGGGAGATTGAGCGTGAAGGAGAATGCTGTGGGGAAGGCACCGAAGGAGCGCAGTGGGACGGAAGTGGCCGCGGCTAGCAACACGAAGGTGAAAAGGAGGGCGATGGTGAGCAGATAGCAAGGCCATGACGCCTTCACCCTATATGATGGTACAAAAACTACTTTTTGATGTACTGCAAGTTTATTGCCGTACAACTGTCATCTGGGTCTACAGCACAGCGCTGTCATAGCTATCTGGCAAGCTTCGCGGCTGCACCAAAGCACTTTCCATACTGTACCGGGCTCTCTAGGTATGTAGGTGGAGATTGTCAACCCCAGGCATTCAACACATCCTTCTTTCTGCGATCCCGAAGCTCAACGTTCTGAACAACAAAGCGGTTACCAAACCTCACGCCAGGCTTCTCAACGCACAGCAGCCGGCTTCCACACGATACGATGGTGTTGAGAGCTAGGAGTTGCAGCCGGCTCACAAGGAAGGAACATGCGGTACTTCGCTAACTTACTACGGAGTATCGACTCGAAGCGTTCGGTTGCACCTCCTCAAGTTTGACCCTTGAACGTTACCTGTAGCGCTGTCCCGGACCGTGTATGCAGGTCCAGGACTCAAGGAGCACGCGGTAAACGCGCAGGATCCAGGTGCGCGTTCCCAACCACCTGGGGGCTGGGTGTGGGAAGTGGTGATACCAGGTGTGGTCGATTAAGGTAGGGGAACTGGTTGAACTTCGGTATTGATCTGGGCGCATCTGGACGGGGGCTTGAACGCCATGGTGAGTGTCTTGGGGGTGAGGCATTTTGCGATGCTGGCATACCGTTTGGATACTATTACTGCAAAGAGAAATATGCTTGGATGGTGTCCGCCGGCTGTTGTTCGGTTTGCAGGCAGGTGGAGGAGAAAAGGGCGTCCAGATGTTTGGTGGTTCCACGCGCGAAACGCCCCGCGATGATCTGTTTCGTCCGCCGCCGGGCCTGAAAACGCCTGACCGAAGAGCCGCAAGAAGCGAAACGATTGGAGTTCTGGGGCTCCACGGTTTGCAGAGCGGCTCGCCTCCATACTCCCTTGTTCTGGTCACGTTGCGCTCGTGACTCCGGATGGGCGTTCCGTCGAGCGCTCTCTGGCATCCACAAAGGGCCTCGACGTCAGACCAGCAATCACTGTCGCTTGTGTAGACTCTCGGCTCTTGGAATCGGCGTTACCATGTCGCGGCCGCATCTCCGGCTTCGTTGGACGTTGCTCTCCCAAATTTGCCATCCGTGACTTGGCTGCTCTGGTAAAAGTGACAAGAAAGATACTTCGTCGCGCATCAATCGCGAAGAGGGCCTTGCTGATCTGCATCTCTTCCGCTTCCTGGCAGACGCCAGGACGGCCAGGATGCTCAATCGGCCGAGACGGCGCACAGCTCAACGCTGGGTAGCTGCCATGAAGCATTAGCAGTTGGCTCTTGGCTACGCCTTTCTGCAAGTCAAGTCCAGCCGGAGCAGGCTGGACCAATGAGTAGCCCTGCCTCTTTGTGAGTGCCGATTCTCTCGTCATGCTCGTCATGCTCGTCATAGTTTTTTCTTTGTGTCAATGAAATTTAGTTTTCTTCGGTAGTGATTCCGTGAAATCAAGGACGTTAAGCCGCTCGTTGTCTTCTTGATGCTCACACACAAAGCTCTAAGATCCCTCTTTTGAGACTTTGTGTTCAAATAATATGCATGGAAAGCATTCGCGCTCCATCTGCTTGCGTCTTCCCACATCTTAACTCCCACCAACTCCTTTCCACGGCAGACGTAGCGGCGGCCGGGCCCTGGGAGCTGTCTCCGTTAGCGACCCCTGGAGCGGCCGCCTGCCGTGCTCATGGGGCACTTGGCGATCTTTGCGCCGATGTTGTCGCGGCGCCATGCGTGTCGGCGCCCAGTCCGCCTAGGAACTAAGCGTCCCATCCATTGACATCAACTGTGCGCTCCATTGGTTTTGTCCCGCCCCAAGACAGAGAATCTGGGGAAATGAACGCTCCTTCGCAGCAGCTAACCCATGTGACGCGGGGGTCCACACACCAAAAAGCGCTTGTGGCTTGCGAATCTTGCTCTCAAAGTTACCCTCGTTACATCATCCGGCCTGAATGTCGGTCCATCGCCATCCATGTCGTGGGAGCAGTAGCGATCATGCGCGAGCCACCGGATTTGCTGTCGAGCTGCAGGCAGGGTTAGGAGCTTGGGCGGAGAAGTTAAATGGGGACCTGCTCCCACTACCAGGCCGGTTACAATCCACTCGCGTTCGGGTTAGTCAAATCCAGCCGACTGTTGTGACATTAAAACGAGCGACCGCCGGATCAACTCAGTACAGTTCCCTTAGATCTGACTATCAACCCTGAGACTTCACAACACGAGGGTAGAAAAGTAGCCCATCATGGCTAAGTTCGCGATCAAGAAACCGGCCGACGTGCCTGGCAAGGCATGGTATGCTCGAAGACGATGACCAGACAAAGGAGATGAGTGCTGAAAGATTGTTTAGGCCCGCTATTGGGGTTGGTCTCTTCGTCGCCTTCGGTGGTGTCCTATTCGGCTATGACACCGGTACCATCGGTGGTATCCTGGCTATGCCGTATTGGCTTCAGGAATTTTCGACTGAGGGCAACAACGAGATCACGCCCTCACAGGACGCCCTCATCGTGTCTATCTTATCTGCCGGCACCTTTTTCGGCGCACTGCTAGCTGCACCCACTGCGGATTACTTGGGACGTCGGTGGGGGCTGATGTTCTCCGCCGGAATCGTCTTTAACCTAGGCGTTATCCTCCAGACAGCCGCCACTGACCAGCCAATGTTTATTGCTGGCCGATTCTTTGCCGGTTTGGGCGTTGGTCTGATATCGGCCATGAGTGAGTCTTTTAGGTTCAGAGGCCGGATTCCCGTACTGATAGACCGCAGTTCCTATGTATCAATCTGAGACTGCACCCAAATGGATTCGAGGAACAATTGTTGGAACATACCAGCTTGCGATCACCATCGGATTGTTCTTGGCGGCTATAGTGAACAATGCGACCCAGAACCGCAACGATAGCGGGTCCTATCGAATTCCAATTGCTGTCCAGTTTGCGTGGTCTATCATCCTCGTTGTTGGGTGCGAATGAACCTCACCAGCAACGGCTGCAACCGCTAACATACAACCAGGCTGTTCCTCTTACCCGAGACGCCTCGCTTCCTGATCAAGCAGGGCAAACACGAGGCGGTGCGTCATTTTCAACCCACTCTTACGGACTGAGCTAATTGTACCACGTTCAGGCTGCACTATCTCTTAGCAAACTCCGCAGACTTGATCCGCAACATCCCGCAGTCGTCGAGGAGCTTGCGGAGGTGCGCGCCAACCACGAATACGAAATGTCTCTTGGCAAAGCCAGCTACATCGACTGCTTCAAAGGCACTATTGGAAAGCGTCTCTTAACAGGATGTGGCCTGCAATCCTTGCAGCAGCTCACCGGTGTCAACTTTATCTTTTAGTAAGCCCACTCGCTCTGTCATCGCCAGCCCAAGAACCGAGCTAACTACATAAACAGCTACGGCACCCAATATTTCCTTAACGCCGGCTTCGACAACCCCTTCATCATTACCGTAATTACGAACACTGTTAATGTCGTCTCCACTTTCCCAGGTCTTTACCTTGTCGAGGCTATGGGTCGCCGCAATCTGCTGCTCATGGGCGCCGCCGGCATGTGCATTTGCCAGTTCATTGTCGGTGCCGTCGGTACCGCATCGGGGGCAGATAACCAAGCCGCGCAGAGCACCGCCATCGCCTTCGTGTGCATCTACATCTTCTTCTTCGCCAGCAGCTGGGGTCCCGTGGCATGGGTCGTCACCGGCGAGCTCTTCCCGCTCAAGGTCCGTGCCAAGTGCCTCTCAATGACCACGGCTAGCAACTGGCTTCTTAATTTCGCCATCGCCTACTCGACGCCCTACATGGTCAACGAGGGCCCCGGCTACGCGAACCTGCAGAGTCGAGTCTTCTTCGTCTGGGGCAGCTTCTGCTTCGTCTGCTTCGCATTCGTGTGGTTCCTGATCTACGAGACCAAGGGCCTGAGTTTGGAGCAGGTCGATGAGCTGTACGGCATCGTGAGCCAGGCGTGGAAGAGCAAGTCGTTCCGGCCTGCGCTCAGCTTCCAGGAAGTCGATCGTGAGGCCAGCAGGGGCATGAGCATGAGCGAGCTGGCGGCTAACCAGGAGAGGAAGAGGAGCGTTGCGCACGCGGAATTGCCGGGCACAAAGAATTATTAGGGAGCATGAAGTTTGTGTGATAGCGTAGATGGGCCTCTAGGCTGCGGTTTTACGAGAGAATGGATGTTGGATGTATGGCGTTGCGGCATGGTGGGCGGGATTCTGAGCATGAAGAAGTCCTACGAGAAATCGAGGGATTTAGTATGTACGATGAATCGCGCACACAACTTCAACACTGTGTACCCGTAGTTGAGTCACTCGATTGTGACTGAGAATCTTACCCTCAGACGCCTGTTCGTAGCAGACCAAGTGCACTAGGATCTTATCCTCGAACTGCTTGGTGCACCTGACTGTTCTATTCTGGAAACAGAAACTTCATACATAACCAAATCAACCAACCTTGAATAAGTCGCACCTCAATAAGTTAGGTGTGCATTGAAAACACTGCCCCCGACGTCCGATTGCCGATGCTGCATAGGGTTGGGCCATATTGGTTTGCGTGTGAACGCGGGCTCAGGTAAGAAGAGGGCAGCTGCGTATCTTGCTAATCTAGAGCATGTTGAGTGCTGTCACGCTCATTTACAGCTTTTTTCATCAAAGGTGATGGAAATGGGTGAATAAAGGGTATACATCTTTTAGTGTTGCGATCCGGCCGTCGCGATGTAAGATGTCAGCATCTGGAGCGATGCCAGATGTAGCTCGCTAAACACCTAAAGCTACCCAACGACACTTGCAACTCGTGATAATTCTTTTCAAAGGATCGAAACACAGGGCGTGCCAAAGTCTTGATAGTGGCAAAGTGCTGCATTGCACCGGTCAATAGTCGCCAGCAAAATTACTAGACATCCACTCATCATGGCCTCACTATATGGTACGTAGATTGTATAGCCGCATGTAGACAGATACATCTCACACTATACGCAGAGTCAGTCTTCAACGGCGCCTACCTAGACACCCTCCTCGACAACGGCTACCTCCCGCACTCCGTAATCCGCATCGGCATCCGCCAGCAACTGAAACAACGAATCGCGGCCATTGCCTCGACATCCCTCGAAGATGGCTTCGAGACGAAGATGAAATATGTGTCGGCTCTTCGCACCAGGCCCATGGCTATTGAGACGAAGAAGGCTAACGAGCAGCACTATGAGGTCGGTACGGGGGTCCTGTCGGCGTGCTTGGGGCCTCGGATGAAGTACTCCTGTTGTTTGTATCCGAAGGGAGGGGAGACGCTTGCGCAGGCCGAGATTGCCATGCTGGAGAGCTATGTAGAGAAAGCAGAGCTCAGGGATGGGCAGAAGGTACTGGATCTTGGGTATGTCTTATCTTCGCCGCAGCAGTCGTGTGGGTTCAAGCATATCAAGAATGGAAGACTAATGGGGAATTGCAGCTGCGGTTGGGGCTCAGCCAGCCTGTACCTTGCCGAGATCTTCCCCAACTCCGAGATCACCGCCTTCTCCAACTCGCGCACCCAGAAGCAATACATCGACTCCGTCGCCGCGCGCAAAGGCCTCAGGAACATCACCGTCATCACAGGCGACGTGGTCGACTATGAATTCTCACACGAGACGTACGACCGCGTCATCTCCATCGAGCTCTTCGAGCACATGAAGAACTACGAGCTCCTGATGGCCAAGGTCGCGCGGGCACTGAAGCCCGGCGGCAAGCTCTTCGTGCACATTTTCGCGCACAAAAGCACGCCGTACGACTTCGAGGATGGCTGGATGACGCAGCACTTCTTCACCGGCGGGACGATGCCGTCGGCGGACCTGCTGCACTATTTCCAGCGAGATCTGTGTCTGCAGCGGCAGTGGTGGGTGAATGGGAAGCATTATGCCAAGACGTGTGAGGATTGGTTGAGTAAGATGCTAGACCATAGGACCGTGATTTGGCCGCATTTGGAGGAGACGTATGGTAGGGAGGGAGTGGTTAGGTGGTGGAATCGGTGGCAGATCTTTTACATGGCATGTGCGGAGCTGTTTGCTTACGAGGGTGGGGATACTTGGGGGGTGTCGCATTACCTGTTCGAGAAGACGGAAAGGTAGCCTCGCAACAGAGGACGACTAGTGGCCGTGAAAGACTGCAGCATTTGTAGGTGTCGATGCGGGACATGGATAGACGCATAATTAGACAGACACCCAGGTCGGCTAGAAACCGTCAAATGTACCAGTACCACACTTGCTCGTCGACTCATAACAAGTTTGCTCCATGGTTGTATCTCCTGGCGGTGATAGAAGTATCTTCTGCTCCTGAACCTCCCCGTGGGGCCGCGGGTATGTACAACGCCCCTTCATCGTCTTGCCATCTCAAGCAACCCAGACAAACGATTGACACTGCACCGACTCCCACTGCTCCTCCTCCACTCAATCAATGCTCCCACGGATGTCTCCAGCCCATCAGCGCTGCACCGTCCTTTCTCGCGCGGTACATCAACTGCAGCTTATGTCAGCCATCCCTCACGGCACACCCATGGGCTGAGGACATACGAAGAACCACATGCTTGCGCCCAGGCCAGTTGCGAAGAATCGATATAGAGGGCGAGCGGGGTGGATGTGGACTGGGTGTGCGCCTGCGGGCCTTGGGTGGGGAGCGGGTCCGGCCATGGCGTTGTATTCGATTGAGCTGGAATGTTGTCAGCGTAGTCCAAGGAAGGGGATTCGTGTGGCTTACAGGCTCTTGTTCCAGTGGTGGTGCTACGTGCTTGCTCCTCTGTCAAGGACTGCGGTGGTGGTGGTGGTGGTGATGTTGGTCGTCGAGGTGCTTGAAGCACGCCAAGATGCGGCAGGCGCGGGATCGTCCGCGCCGAACAATCGACCTTCCCCGGTTCATTGCTATTGAAGATGCCCTTCTATTGTTGCGCGCCGCGCACGCAGAAAGAAGTCACTCCTCTCTTGACATCCGCCAGCTTCACCGAGGACACTTCTCTCATCTCCATCGATGTGCACGAGAAACATCCACAGCGACCGCGCAGCTGCTTGTTGCGACATCCGCGAGCAAGGGACCCTCTGTTAAGCCTACAACTTTAGGCTGGAAACGCGTTCAGCGCAGCCCCGTTCTCCGATTCACTCTATCGTAGTTTGGGGCTCAGTAAGAGCTAGGAACAATGGCCACGGCGGCGGTAGCCTCGCCCGCAAACGGCCTACAGCGGACCTTTCACGGCTGCTCTAGCATCAGGGAATACGATGTTCAGCGCAAGCTGGGAGAAGGCACGTTTGGCGAGGTGCATAAGGCGCGCTCTCGACGTACTGGCGCGGTGGTCGCGCTCAAGAAAATCCTGATGCACAACGAGAAAGATGGCTTCCCCATCACAGCCCTGCGCGAAATCAAGCTCCTCAAGATGCTCTCCCACGTCAACGTCCTGAGGCTCGAAGAGATGGCCGTGGAGCGGAACAAGGGCGAGGGAAGGAAGCGTGCCGTTCTTTACATGGTCACGCCGTACATGGACCATGACCTCTCGGGCTTGCTGGATAATCCGGAAGTCCGCTTCACGGAACCGCAGATCAAGTGCTACATGCTCCAGCTCCTCGAAGGCCTCCGTTATCTGCACGACAGTCACATCTTGCACCGCGACATGAAAGCCGCTAACCTCCTCATCAACAACCGCGGCGTCCTGCAAATCGCCGACTTCGGTCTAGCAAGACACTACGACGAGCCGGTCCCCCAGCCAGGCAAAGGCGGGGGCGAGGCACGTCGCGAATACACTTCATTAGTCGTCACGCGCTGGTATCGTCCGCCGGAGCTTCTCCTCTCCCTCAAGCGTTACACCACCGCGATCGACATGTGGGGCGCGGGCTGCGTTTTCGGCGAGATGTTCAAGCGCAAGCCCATCCTAGCCGGAACCTCTGACCTAAACCAAGCGCAGATCATCTTCGACCTCGTCGGCTCTCCCACCGACGAGAATATGCCCGGCTGGCGCGAGCTTCCCGGCTGCGAGCAGGTCAAGAACTTCGAGTACCGGCGCGGCAACCTCGCCCAGGTCTTCCGCGAACAAGGGTCCTCGGCCATCTCGCTCCTCCAGGAGCTCCTGAAGCTCGACTGGCGCAAACGCATCAATGCCATCGACGCCCTCAAGCATCCGTACTTCCGCATGGATCCGCTGCCCGCTAGACCAGAGGACCTCCCGCGCTACAGCGACTCGCACGAGCTCGACCGGCGCACCGCCCGTGGCCAGAAAGCAGCGCTCCCGCCTGCACCGGCAGGCGGGACAGTGGGCATGGGACCAGACCAGCAGTGGACCGGCTCCGGACCTCCCGCCAATGGCGCCGGGCCCTGGGTCAACGGTGACGGCCGCCCGCCTCGCGCCTGGCAGGACCGCGGTCCCCCGGGTACCGGTCCACCACCAAGCGGCATGCGTGGCGGCTACGACAGCAGGGTCCCGCACGCAGCGTACGATTCTCGAGGCGCGCCGCCTCCGCCGCCGAGACGCCAACCGTGGGCTGGAGACGGAGTGCCACAGGGACATGGCAGGGGACTCCCGCCGCCGCCTGGAGATGGGAGCAGGCATCCGCTGCCGCCGCCGCCGCCGCCGCATGTGCCACCGCCTGCGTACCGTGAGCGACCTGCTGGCAATGCGCCGCCCGTCAATAGGGGCAATGTGGATACGTACATCCCGAGCTACTCTGATGGTGGTGCGGGCGGGAGGAGGGGCTCCGGTGATCGGGATGCGAGACCGGGATTCAGGCCGGATGAGCGTGGTCGGGTTCCTGGACGGAGGGACGAGCGGTTTGATCGTGACAGGGAGCGCGAGAGGGGTGGTCCGGGTGGGGGGCGGGCGCTGGATTATGGTGGTGGTGGTGGTGGGAGGGAGCGAGATCGGAGGAGCACGAGGAGTAGGAGCCCGGTGGATGCGGATCGGAGGAGGGATAGGGAACGGGATGGGTACAGGCGCTAGCTTTGGGACTTGTTGCGTTGAGAGCGGCATGGGCTGTCATAGCGGGATAGTGCATTACACGAGGCGTACAGAGCCAGCGCAGGTTATGCCTAAGGCGCTGCGCTCAAGGCGTTACAGCCAGGGCGCTAGGAGTCTCTGGCATGGAAGGTTTCATGGAATGGATGCTGCGTAACGAGGCGTCTGCATCTGGTTTAGGATAGGCGGCATTTACGTAGCGAGAGGCTTCTTGTCACAAGATGCTTGCTCTGTTCTTTGCATCTACATCCGTAAAGTCGTAAATGTGGCTGCATTGCGAGTACACGTCAGATACAGTAATAGTGCCTGTCTCATCGTACTCGAGAAAAGTGTCTGGTCTGCCACATGGCTAGCTCCGATGGGGCATGGCGCTGACGGGTTGTCGGGCTGTCGGGCTGTCGGGCTGTCGTTCCCTGTCAGTTCCGTCAGGAACACTGCAGCGACAGCCTCCGCCCATTTCTCCAATTGGCAGGCGGTGTGCCTTTTTCGCAATCGGCCTTTTTGCGTCCCTCGGTGTGGCCGTGATGACTCCCCGCCATATCCCGAGTACGATATCTGCATAAGTAATTCGCTGTTCGCCCGCACCTTAAGACACTTCATACCTCGTGCACTTCGCCCGCTCCCCCTCCCACCCCACAATGGCTCCACACGCAGCGCAGAATGGCACTTCGCCCATCCACACGAGAGAAAAAGACCTTCCTGGAGGATGGGTGGTGCTGAAATTTGGCGGGACTAGCGTCGGCAAGTTTGCGAGGAACATCGCGGACATTGTGCAGTAAGACCTCGTGCAACCCCCTCTCGGGAGACGATTGGAAGTACAAGGAGGGGCACGTGCTGAATACATCCAGGACAGGCGTCTCGAAGAACCGCATCGCCATTGTTTGTTCGGCAAGAAGTACGACTGTTAAAGCGGAGGGGACGACGAATAGGTAAGTCACTGGTGCGGATGTGGGAATACTTCCTCGAAGGACTACTTGTGTTCCGAGCTTACCGACACCTGGGTGGGGTACAGGCTTCTGAGAACTGCTCGAGCCGCCGAGAAAGCAGACTCGAGAGACTACGATCCCATCGTCGAAACCATCCGCGCAGACCACGTTCAAGCTGCCCGCGACCTCATCAAGGACCCCGCTATCCTCGACGCCCTCATCCAGGATATCACTTTCGAGTGCAAGACCCTTACCAGAATCCTCGAATCCGCACAACACCTCGAAGAAGTCAGTGCTCGGGCAGAGGACAAGATCATCAGCAAGGGCGAGAAGCTATCATGTCGGTTCATGACGGCACTACTACAAGATCAGGGCGTGCAGGCTCGGTACGTGGATATGAGCGACGTGATCAAGGTCTCGATCCACCACGGCGGCATCGATGAGGTCTTCTATGAGCACGTCGCAGCCACGCTCGCGGACGAGGTGATCGCGTGCGGAGACGCGGTACCGGTCATCACAGGCTTCTTCGGCAGCGTCCCTGGCGGTCTACTTCCCACCATCGGCCGCGGGTATACAGACCTCTGTGCTGCACTCGTAGCCGTAGGCCTGAAAGCCGCGCGACAGCCCGTGAGCGAGTTGCAGATCTGGAAAGAGGTGGACGGCATCTTCACGGCCGACCCACGCAAAGTGCCCACAGCCGCCCTCCTGGACAGCGTTACGCCCTCCGAGGCCGCCGAGCTGACCTTCTATGGCAGCGAGGTCATCCATCCCTTCACTATGGAGCAGGTCATCCGCGCCCGCATCCCCATCCGCATCAAGAACGTGATGAATCCACGGAACAACGGAACCATGATCTTCCCCGACGCCATTGACGAGATCACTCAGAAGAACCCGCTGCATGCTGCTCATCTGACTCACCTGGTCAGGGCGAGATCGAACTCCGGTAGGGGAGTTGTCCAGCGTCCCAAGCGTCCCACGGCCGTTACCATCAAGCGCGGCATCGTGGTGCTGAACGTGCACTCGAACAAGCGCACCCGTGCCCATGGCTTCCTGATGAACATCTTCAGCACGCTGGATAAGTGGCACCTCTCCGTTGACCTCATCTCCTCGTCCGAGGTGCATGTGTCCATGGCTTTGCACTCCGAGAGTCCCATGCTGGCAAATGGCGGCTCGACGGACGTCGTGCAGGTCATTGACGAGGACCTGAAGTGCGCCATCGTGGAGCTCCAGAGGATTGGCACGGTCGATTTGGTGAACGAGATGGCGATTGTCAGTCTTGTGGGCAAGCAGCTTAAGAACATGGTTGGTATTAGTGGCCGTTTCTTCAGCACGCTGGGAGACGAGGGGATTAATATCGAGATGATATCCCAGGGTGAGTTGCATTCTGCTCCCGGAGTACAAGTATGCAACTGGTCACTGATGAGACGATAGGGGCGAGCGAGATCAACATCTCGTGCGTTATCGAGGAGCGCGAGGCCGATCGCGCGCTGAACGTTGTTCATACGAACCTGTTTACGTTTTTGGATTAAGCACTGCATAGCGTTGGCGTTACACTAAAAGAGTTGTGTTTGGCTTTTGCTTCCCCCAAGCATGGTGCGCAGCATACCGACGCATGATAGGAAGATGCCACGCATTGTAGGAGAAGCATTGCTTTGGGCATGCAGAGCTATTTGGTATTGAGGTTAAAGAGATAGATTACGTTCTGCTAGACGCCGGCGGAAGAATGAGGTTACGAAGCGTATGAGGAGTTGTTGCAGATATTCTTAACAACATGGAGGGATGGGTGTGAGTACTTCGTATTTGGTAGATACTTCTCATCGTCTTCCATCTTCCTCGACACGTTCAGGCTTTCTTTGCCCTCAAATCGCTGCAATCTGCAATCACCTGCAGACACTGGATTCAAATTTGGCAATCTCGCATGTGATCAATTCGTTCACTTCACTTCGTGCCTTCACTGACACCACCCGACTATTGCAATCTCGATACTTCATCTTAACCTCACTCAGCTCTCATCCCAACATCACCACACCGCCTACTTCTAGGATCTTGTTATCTGCTACTCTGCGTCTTCAGACCTGATCCAATACACAACACAGCGATCAACATGGCGCCAAAGAACAAGAACAAAAACAAGAACAAGGCTACCGCGCCTGAACATTCACCGCGAACAGCACGCGACGTCCGCCTTCACGACCTCACATCCTGTATGGATCTTCCTTCCACCTTACACATGGATCTACCCCGGGTTACATCCATCCTTGGAAATAGAGACAGAGACAGAGAGACAGAGACTGACACCGAGACCGGGACAGCGACCACTGGGCTTGGATCTGTATGCGAGACCTGTGATGCCACTTCACCTGCTGCTTGCACTTGTGGACAGCCGCCCGTCGAGGCTGGGCAAGAGACTTTGAAGACTCCTAGCAGAAGCACTTCTCAAGGTACGATAATATTTCTCTTCGATTTTAAGCCTACTTTGACGTTGTGGGGATGGATGTAAGATCTGACACCACCAGCCGTTTCAGCGGTGCGCGAAGCTGTGCACATTCCAAGTAGCAACGCTGCCAGAGGTGAGTCGAGTGTTTCTCTTTGATCTTGCACCCTAGTCATCGTCCCGCAGAAAGGTAGGATATTCTGACACCAGCTAGCCGCAATGATGGAGCGTGAGGCTGCGAGCCCACCGAACCAGAACTCTTCTGAAGGTGAGTCACTTGTGTTTCCATTGATCTGAAGTCACCGTCCTTGTACTACATGAGCATGATATCTGACTGCGGTCAGCCACGCCGGCGGAGCATGGAGCCGCGAGCACCCCTAGCAAGAATGCTTCTGGACGTAAGTGGATTGTATCCTCTTGATCTTCGCCCGGCTTTCCCGAGCTAGAAGATAATCTGCTATCTGACACCATCCAGCCATCTCTTCACCTCAAGGTCTCCGCAAGCGTCCAACTCCGTCGATCAATCCCACACCGGTCTCACCCCGAACCGATCATCCATCCGCTCCCTCTGCTCCCTCCGCTCCCTCGGCGCAAGAAGCAGCTCAAGCCCGCGCCTTCAGCCACGGGCTCGATCAACTGACCTCTGGCGCCACCAGTCTGAACCAGCAGTATCATAAGGTAGCCCAAAAGCTGAATGCGCTCGGCATCTCGGCCGACAGCCTCCCTCGTCCTCCCAGCTTCGGAGACCGCCGCGCTCGAAACGCACCGAAGACGAAGTCTAAGCCGAAGCCAGAAGAGCAAGTCAGCGCGGCGGAGATTCAAAAGATCAGGGACGAGATCGCCAAGAAGATGGTGGCCATTGGACTGCCTGATAGGAGCCAGGAAGTCAGGGATGGCTTTGAGCCCAAGGTAGTCAAGACTGTCCCAGAGATCAAGGTCAAAGAAGCAGCAGCTGGTCCACCTCCCACCCCTCCCACTCCGCTCACTACGCTGCCTGGCCTTATCGATGCGTGGACGAATCCGAACACCAAGCTCTCGACGCCGAAGACCGATACGGAGAAGAGCACGCTGCAGACACCGAAGAGTTCCGTCAAGTCTCCCGTAGGCAATGTTCAGAGCGGAGGCAGCTCGTTGAAGAAGTCGAGGATTCCCACTCTCATCAGGAAGCCAGGCAATGCATTTCCGACTGTGTTCGACTCGCCGACCAAGCCACTCAATTGGAAGAAGAAGGGAAAAGAGAAGGTTGCGATCTGGAAGGAAGATCCTGCAAGTGTTGAGACTTCGAAATTGGGCCCGGCGGATTTAGATCTCAAGACGTTCTATGAGAATGACCCCGCCGTTAAAGGCGCGGATGAAGAAGATGGTATACTAAATACTATACGGAAAATGAGAGCCGGTATGTACCCTTCTTCCGAAGCAATACTATAGCTACGCTCTGAGACCTCTCACTCGTAGTGTCACTCCAATGGTTTATGACTAACTTTAGCCTGCAGAATCACGTCGATCTCCAGGCTCGAAAGAAGACGCGACATTCTCTCCCCGAGTCACCTATCACGAAGCTTACGGCTCAAGGCCAGCGTTTGATCTCAATGAGTCCTACCGTGCTCTGACCTCATCACCTGAAGCAACTGGTCTTGGTGTTTTCATCCCTGGCAAGACTGCAGGCCAAGAAACTTCCATCACCCGCTCTCCAACTACGCCCGACTTGTCGCAAGCTTCTGAAACGTCGCCCAGCCCTTTGGCAGATCCAGTGGCCTTCCGACGCAGTCTCAGACTGTCTCCTGATAGTATCTACGAGGACGAGATCGAGAACCCATTCCGTTCTCCACCACCTCCACCTCCTCCGGTCGATCTCAGCGAGATCCATCCAGCCCTGCGGCCACAGGTCCGCCAGACATTCCTCTTCGACGCTACGCCCACCCTGTCTCGTCCATCCTCATCTGGATCTTCTACAGTCGCTGATGTCAATCTCTATGCTCAAGCTCGTCCCGTATCCGCTCGCTCAGCTTCACCAGCGCTAACGGTCTACCACCGTACTCCGACTCCACCCGAAGAAGAAGAAAAGCCCGATGAACCCACTGCGGGACTCTCAGAGACAGAAGACCCCTACATCTCGCACTGCTTCGCGCCCTTCCCCCTCACCGGCGCCAGCCCCGCCAGCATCGCAGCGCACAACCGCATCCATGCCACGTTGCTCGACAAGCTCGACTGGGCGATCAAATCCAGCACGACGAAGCGACGAATGGCACTCGGCGAACCTCTCGAACAGCGCGCGCTCGCCTGCTCCGTGGCCAGAGCGGTCCTCGCAGACACGAACAAGGCCGTGAACGAGAGCAGCTTCAGCGTCAAAGACGAGGTCAAGAAGGCCGAGAAGCGGCTCGCGGAGCGGCAGTGGCGCGATGAGTACCGCCTCAAAGCCTACACAAAGGAGGCGGAGAAGGCCGCAAAGCGCGCGCCAGGCGTATATGGTGCTGCCGCCGCATCCCCCGCGCTCGCCTCGGTGGCGACGCTCAACTCCACCTTCCCGCCGCCGTCGCCCGTCCCCGCCTCCGCCGCCAGCGCCACAGGATCCGCAAGCTTCGCAACCTACAGCACGCGCTCCGCGCGTGGGAGGCGCGGCTCCCCCTCCGCGGCGCCCTCGTCCCCCGCCTCCTCCTTCTTCAGCACGCCGAAGCTCGACTCGGCCAGCCCGCGCGCGCGGCACGGCCGGCGCTGGACTCTCGAGGCGCCGGCTGCGCTGGCGCCGGAGCTTGGCGGCGCGCAGTACGAGGCCGTGTGGGCCCTTGCGTTCCTGGAGAGGGTGGAGGGGGAGGCCGGGGCGGAGGGGGTGGAGGTTGAGAGGAGGGTGGCGGTGGAGGAGAGGGTGAGGAGGGTGATGAGGGAGAGGGAGATGGTGGCGAGGACGGAGGAGGCGGTGAGGAGGGCTTTGGGGTGAGGGAGGGGGGTGGAAGATTGGTGGTGGAGGGGGAGGGATGGGGGGGTGGGAGGGTGTGGTGGGAGATAGTTTGCTGCTTGTAATTTTAGCAAATGATCATGGGCTGCTGGAGATTTTGGTGCATACGATGAAGATGGGTGTGAGTGATGATTATGACTCGCCGTCAGTATACTGAATGCCTTTCCTGTCGCATCTTTCGATTTGTAGAGACACCCCCATTGCATCAGAGGCTCCAGGTTCTGGGACTATCACTTTTGAAACACCATGCGAAGCATCCCAACCAATACCAAGCGGCAAATCATCATAACTCACACCCATCACCAATTACTGGGAGACCTCAGCGTCCAGAATCACAACCTCAATACAGTCTACATAATATACACTTCTATAGCTCGTCCAGCACAGCAACGCCCAGACCCCCCTCCGCAATCCCTCCCAGCACCTCTCCAACATCTTCTCCCCGTTCCCCCAACACCTCGACAAGCGTCTGCCCCCACGTATCCCCATTATTCTCGAACCAGTCCCCCAAGCCCTTGACATATAGCTCCACCTGCCCCTTAAGCGGCGCATTCTCCTTCAGCCATAATATCTGCTCCGGATCCAACTTCATCATGTCCTCGACGACGTAGTACTGGCTGATGTCGTCGCCCCAACCCTCGGCGCCGGGCTCGTGGTACGCTGTCGCCTGAAACTTGGAGTAGGAGAAGCGGTCCGCGAGGGCGGGGCTATTGTGGTAGAGCGAGCTGAGCGCCGGGGCCGCGAAGGGGTTGTAGGACACAGGCGGCGGGTAGTTGAGGTGGATGTTGAAGAGGAGCTGGCTGCCGTCGTGGTCCGGGTAGCGCTTCTTGAACTTGCGCGCGATGGTGCCGTTCGAGGGGCAGACGTTTGAGCGGATGACTTCGCGCAGGACAAGGTGCACGTCGGCGATCTCGGCGAGCTCGGCGGTGCTCCAGTTGTGCAGTAGTTGCGCGCGCTCGTGGAGGACAAGGTGGTTCATGCGGAGGCTGCGCGGGTGGGCCGGGTTGTGGAAGGCGCGCGTGTAGAGCCAGAGGCGGTAGAGGGCGCGGCGGAGGCGGTAGCGCTCGGAGGTCGTCAGCATCCGCCGGTGCTCGAAGTCGTGCTTCCATTTCTTGAAGGGGTAGATGTCGCTCCACTTCTCGGCGATGCGGCCTGTGTGGACGATTTGCTTCAGTAGCGCTAGAGAAAAGGGGACGGAGCGGATTATGTGCGCGCGTTGGCTGGCGTTGTGGGTCAGGAGCTGGATGACGTCTTCGAGCGGGCCGTACTGAGCCTCGGCGGCGTGTTGCAGGATCGGGAGACGCTGCGAGGAGGTGTATATGCGGCGGAAGCGTTTGCAGGTGGAGGAAAGAGCGAGGACGTCGGAAATGGATGTACAGGAAAGAAAGACGTGGGCTACAATCTCGGTGGCTAGGTCCTCAAGCAACATCGCTGCGGTATTGTTTTTCGGTTTTTCGAAACTTGGGTTTCCTCTTCAAATGCTTCAAATTCTTCTGCTGTCTTCTAGACAAGCTGATATGTGGTTTGTGTAGTCGGCGTACAATGACTCGAATGCTCGAAGAGGCAACTCCCCTACAAACCTCAAGTGCCGAAGGAGAAGGAAGGGCTCAAATTTGATAGACCCCGCCGTTGGGGCTATAGAGGAGAGAAATTCCATCGTTGAGGCGATGGACAGTCAAGTCCAGCCCATAAAGGCTGGTGAACTGCGTTTCTATCATGACTGGCGTGGTGGAGGAAGGAAAGGAAAGGGGGGCGGTGATGCACGAAGATGGAAACTCGACGCCGCCAGCCGCATGCCAAGATAACGCGAGCCGGCCCGTGGTCTGGGGTGTCCGGGTGCTTGAACATCCACACCACCATCCGATGATGAATGTCATTTGCAGAACAATTTCTGAAGGGACACGCTCACTCCGATCCCTAATGGAGCCTCCAACCCCCCCAGAGAAACCCTTCCCCTTCCTCCGACTCCCGCTCGAGCTCCGCCAGCACATCTACTCCTTCGTCCTCCCCGCATCACTTCCACACGTGCCCAAAGCTCTAAACGGAGTGATCTGGCGGCGAGGCCATACAGCGCTGCTCCTCACAAACCGCCAGATCAGCGAAGAGTGCCTGGACGTGATATACGGCAGCAACGTCTTCATGGTCGACATCGCCTATGGTGGCATGACGCTGCGGTACCGATGGCAACTGGAATCCGGCTTGGCTGTTGCGCCTAGCCGGGCGTATTCCTCGCTTGAGCGGTTTGCGAGGGCGAATGTCAGGAGGATCAGAAGGTGGATCGTCAACGTGGAGCATGTGGATAGCTATCTCGGCATGATCAAGTACAACTGTGCTGGAAGAGGGCTTACGGACGGACTGCGCATGCAGGTGGGGATATTCGTTTCTATCATAGCTCTCTCTACAAACATTGTCGACCTCCGGATACAGTACATTGACGGGAATGAGGGGCGGTCGGTGGCCGAAACCGTGTTGGAGCCCTTTTGTGGGATTTGGGTAGTGCGCAAAGCTACCGTTGGCGGAGCAGTAACGCCAGAGTTCGCTGCCTTACTCGAGGGCAAGATGACTAGCTCCGTGGTCTCGAGGTCGCTCTTGCGCAGTCGTCCAGAAGCTGTGGTTCCGCCATCGCTGGGTTTCCGGTTGATGTCCGAAGAGAATCCTATAATCCATCCAGCGAACCGGGCTCTTCATGGACTGTACACCATGGTTCCAGAGCCGTGAGTGATGCAGTCCTAAGCGAGGAAATGTTTCGGGGATTGATCACACGTTCCACATGTCTTCCACGGTTTGCATGCTTTGTCGGCGGATCCCGGAAGCCTCTCGCCTTAAATACGGTGGAGCTGCTTCTTTTCGGCGTCCGCCTCAATACTGAGTAACTTCTCCCTCACAACAAAGATGGACGTCATAATTAAGTTCTTAGTTCCAATTGTACGGCCCCTTGTAGCTGGGATCGCATACGGCGTGTCTCTTATCAAAACTCTGTTACTTCGCTACCATGGAGCCTGTGGTGTACACATACTAACTTTGATTCAAATGTGCAGCTACCATCTTCGTATACATAATGGTGAGCCACGTCGTCAACTACGTTTTCGACAGGAAGGCTGATCAAGAAGAAGCCGGTAAGGATTGATGTAGTGCAAGGTTGCTGTCAAGATTACTGATAAAACCAACGCGAAAGATCGGCAGCGAAAAGCTCGCGAGGAGAGTCGTCATTTCCACAAGGAGATATTGCAGACGTTGGAGGGTGCTCGTAAGTCAACTCAAGTTCCTGAGCTTCATGAGTACGCCTGACAGTAGCTCAGCGAAAGAGCTAGCGGAGAAGCTAGCGAGAGAGCTTGCGAGATCGGAGAAGCCTTAGTCGGAGGAGCATCAGTCAAGAAAGCCTTGGGTGGAAATCCAGACTCAGCGCGTGTGGTAAGAGCTGAGTTTCTTGCGGTATCTCCGTTGGGCGGATCTCGGGGACGCCCTTGCAGATGTGCGCTATGTGTGGATGTGAAACGTAGCAAAACGCGACCTTTTCCGCGGTGGCGGGTTTGTTAGCACCAATAGGAATTCGCCCACTGTGGCAACCTTTCATCCTGCGAAGTCGAGTAGTGAACCCGAAAGAAGCGTTTCGACCCGAATTTAGATCAGCTATATGCGGGAAGAAACCCCTCAGATCGCCTTCCCTCGCTTCAAACACAGCTCCTCAAGCACAGCCATGCCACGCGTAGGAGGCGAACTCAAGAACACCGAACGCCACCATCCCCATTATGAAGCTGGGATATCAGGAGAGCCGTGTAGGGATTATCCGAACAGAACCCGGGAATCGAGCTCATCTCTAGGCTTCTTCCGTCCGCCTTCCGTGTTCAACCCCAGGTCCCCTCTCTTAACCTTCCGCTCCACGCCCTGCTCGCTGCGTCTATTATACCTGCCCGCCTTCGCCATCCTCAGCTCCGATCTGACCTGGTTCGGCGAGACAAACTCCTTGTTCTCGTAGATCACCGGTCCCCCGAAACTCGATTCCAAAATCACAATCGGCGTGAGCACGAAGCGCGGTCCAATCTCCACAAGACTGACGTCCGTCTCGGCATTCCTGCCCTTCTTGGGCGCGTCATCCACGTCCATCGCGGCGTCGCCGTCCGCAGCGGGCTTCTTCTTCCCCGGCTCCGTCTCATTGATTTGATAGCACCGGATCCAGATCTTGCCGTCCGCAACTGTGAAGCCCATGACGTGGTCGACGAAGGGTTTCGTTTTCCGCGCGCCTTTTGGTACGCCGAAGATGTGGGTGAGGAGTTCTTTGATGACACGGAGGTGGGGTTGCTTTTCGAAGGAGGCGTCGAAGGAGAGGATGGGGCGGGAGCCTTTGAGGCAGTTGCCGGTGAAGTGGAGCTCTTCCATTGTGTGTACTAGGCGTAGGTGTTTTGTCAGTTCCCGGTCGCTTGAGTGGAGACTGGTATTAAAGAGTGCTTACGGTTCTGCAAGTGCATCTTGACCGTAGGGCCGTTCGGCGCCTTGCTCATCCACACATAGAGATCCTTGCCCTTGCGCGCCTCGAAGAAGAAGACATTGTTGCAGTTGTAGAGCTCGGCGAGCTCGTTCAGCTGGTACAGCTTCGTCTTGGTGTCTAGTTTGGCCTCTTTGCGACTGTGGGGAAGCAGCGAGTAGAGGTCGTTTAGCAGGTGTCGGTGTCGGTAGGTTACGCCTCTGGAGCTCAGGATGAGCACTTTTTGCTTGTTTTTCCGGCCTGTGCCCGTGCTTTTGTCCTCGTCCTTTCCTGCGCCGTTCGCTCTCGATATCGACTTGTACACCGCTGCCATGGTGTGCGAGAGTGGTGCGGTTTAGAGTGCCCGCAGCAGACTGTCGCGGTTCAGGGAAATTTTTGGTGCAGCGCGCCAAGATGCATATCGATAAGGCACGTGCGCTGCAGATCCGCTTTGCGGCATTGCGGCTTCCATTTCCATCCGTGTGATCCAGGAACGAAACTCAAGACGTCTGGGTAGAAGAGCTACCTACTTACGGGAGCAGACAAGGGGATGAAAAACAACTCGAAGTACTGGATTTGAGGGCCAAGGACACCATCATGCTCGTCGTCTCATGCGAGGCGCAACTTTTGGTGGTGTGGGTGAGCATCGACAGCAAGACGCTAGAGGACAACCAAGACCACCGGCACAACCAAGTACCAGGTATCTGCAATTGAGAGGCGATAGAACTCTAGCTGTATCAGAGGGCCAACCCTCTGGTAGAAGGCACATAGATAAGCCTTGCTTGTATTCGTAAACCGTGATGCCCGCAGCGTGCTCGCCAAGCATGACTGATGGAGTATTACCCCGTTCATGGTGGAGCTGCTGAACGATGCCATACGTCCCGACATGGTTGACGTTCCCCCAAGCCAAAGCCACACGGTTCCACGCCCATAAGTCATCCTCGGCCGTTATGGGCTATCCAGACCTTCCACGTCTGCCATACGCCCCTCAATCATCGAACCATGACCCCTTCCCCTTGTCCGCTCCAGCCCACTTTCACCACCCATCGGCCTCGCATCGTGAGCAGCTGAATTTCGAGCCGGCAGATACGCTCGCTACCTCTCACTTCGATCGCCATCTCGTGCGGCCACCGGCTTCTTTCACTGGCCGACCTCAAGTCGTTGCATCGTCCGGTTCCCTGGTGCGCTTGACTTGGTCTTGAGGATTATCGTCACCACCACCAGCGGCGCAAGCCGGCGACCCGTCTTGGGAAACCGCACGCCGCGGTCTCTCGGAGACCCAGTGGCGCATTCTCAGGCCGTCTCACTCATGGCCCCTTCACAGTGATACTGTAAGATAACCTTAGTGTCGACGGTGCAATAGGTGAATCGATGTGGCGCCACTCCGCACAAAGACACTTCGGGGAGGACGAGCGTTCGTCGCGAGACAGGATGCCAGGGGAACAACAGAACTTCGCCTCACATTCTCCAACGCAAACACATTTCAGCTACTCGCCTACCAACCGCTCGCACAACTCGAACCCTCCAACACCTGCGCCGCTCCATTCGAGTTACAGCAACAACCACCATCACAAGCCGAGCTCACCTCCGACCACCGGCCTGCCACCGCTGACAGCCGCGGTATACCAACGCGATAATACGGGCTCCAGATATTACGATCCGACTTTGGACCGTGGCGATGGCACCATAGGGCGAGCTGACACCCGGCCAAGTTCGCGTTACGGGCTCCAGGTACGGACGGTTTTTTCTAACTATTATACTCACGACTTTGTCCAAGCTATTTGACAGCTCACTAACAGACGTACCACAGAGTCGCGAGCCCTACGGCTATCCAGACACTCGGCCAACCGATCGACACTACGACCAGTACTACACATCGCCAACAGCCGCGACTTTTGCGCATGAGTCGCCGCCCCTGCCTCCACCGCCGCATCCCTACCCAGGCCGCACGGAGCTTCCGCCTCACTCGCCTACCTCGCCAAAGGCATACCACAACACAAGTGGAGGCGCCATGCAGTCGACTCCAGCCACGCATGCGCGGGTGCCGTCTCGTGAGGTAAGCTTGCAGTCTACCTCGCCTCATCGAATAAGATGGCGGGATGCTAAATCAAGGCGCAGACATCCAGTCGGGCGGATCCGATGTCCCTTTCGAGCATCATGTCGGGCGACAACGACGATCGGCCCACCACGTCCTCGTACCCTCCTCCCACTTCAGACTCTCGCCGGTCCTCCAAGGCTGCCATGAACCCTCCAGTCAAGATCAAAGAAGAGAGCACAGCTACTCCTGTATCTCATGAAACCCATATGAACGAGGCGCCGATTGACGATGAGAATGACACTATACACGTCAACGGCTATGGGAGCGGAACTCCGCGCCTTTCAACGCCTGCTGGCGTTGCCCGGCCACCAGTTGACGAGAAGGCTATTGAGGCCGAGCTGGCAGCGATCGACGCCGCAGATCACAGCGACGTTGAAGGCCCGGGGTTTGAAGAGGAGAGGAAACAGTTTAGTGAGCGCAGCCTCAAACGAGCGCTCGAGATCGAACAGGGTGAAGGCGAAAAACGGAAGGTACGTCATCTATGTGCCCAAGTATACCAATAGCTCGGGCTGACCCAGATTCTAGCGCCGCCGGACCGCGCACTTGACGCGATACCAACTTGCCTTCCACGGTCACGCGAACATAGCTCGACAGAACTACTTCAAGACGTACGAGAACGAAGCTTGGCAAGAAGTACAACAGCAAGAGATCGCCGAAGAGAAGGAGAGGAAGAAAGACATGCAGCGCAAGCGGAGACGCGAGAAGACCCTGCAAAACGAGATTCAGAAACGGGACGAGGCTATGAAAGCAGCGCAAGGGGCGCCCAACGAAGATGAGAAGACACGGCTCATTCGCGAGGCGGCAAAAGCTGCGAAGAAGGCCAAAGCTACGACTGAGCTCCTGCAGGGAGGCACGCCGAGCAAAGACCTAAGAGAAGTCACGCCGCTTGCGCCGAATCTGGAGGGCGGTACGATGAGCTCTTTTCAGATGTCCGAGGACGCGCGCGAGCCACCTCGGAAGAAGGGCAGAACTGGCAACAGGCCGCGGAAAAGCAAAGAGCAGAAACAAGCAGAGAAGGATGCGGCTGCTGCTGCGCATGCTGCCATGGAACGCGGAGAAGAGCTTCCTACAATCCTTCCCAGGAAGGAGGCCCGATTACAGGAGCTTCAGGACATCCGGGAGCAGCGGAGTCAAACCGAGGAAACGACTCCGGTGAGGGTCATCGCATACGACTCAGATATCTACAAAAAGATGGTCACCGACATCCTGAAAGATATTGCCAAGAAGGATGTGCCAAAGGTCAAGAGGATCAAAGACAACTCCTACGACACCAAGGCGTCCAACCTTCGTAAGACTGCGCAGCTTGCATCAAAAGAAGCCAAGCGCTGGCAGCAGCGTACGAACAAAAATGTCAAAGACGTTCAAGCACGCGCGAAGAGGAGCATGCGCGAGATGCTCTCGTTCTGGAAGCGGAACGAGCGGGATGAGCGTGACCAGCGAAAGATGGCCGAGCGGCAAGAGCTAGAGAACTCTAAGAAGGCTGAGGCTGAGCGCGAAGCCAACCGGCAGAAGCGGAAGCTGAATTTCTTGATCTCTCAAACCGAGTTGTACTCGCACTTCATCGGCAAGAAGGTTAAGACAGACGACATCGAACGGTCCACGGACGACGTCGCTGTCTCCGGCCAGACAATCAGGCCTGCGGCACCAGGCGCACACACTATCGACTTGCCGGACAGCGTCGCCAAGGTTGGAACCAAGGTGACGAACTTTGAGGACCTAGACTTTGACGCAGAAGATGAGACGGCACTCCGCGAAGCCGCAATGGCAAACGCCCAAAATGCTGTTAAGGAGGCTCAAGACCGCGCACGAGCTTTCAACGAGGGTGGTCAGGGGTCTGAGTCCGACGACGGCGAGATGAATTTCCAGAATCCTACCAGTCTGCAGACCATGGATGTTGCGCAACCGAAGATGCTCTCCTGCCAACTCAAGGAGTACCAGCTCAAAGGCCTCAACTGGCTTGTCAACTTGTATGAGCAGGGTATCAACGGCATCCTGGCTGATGAAATGGGTCTCGGGAAAACTGTCCAATCCATCTCCGTCATGGCTTATCTAGCAGAAGTCCACGGTATCTGGGGTCCTTTCCTGGTGATTGCACCTGCGTCCACACTTCACAACTGGGAACAGGAGATCCGGAAGTTTGTCCCGAAGATGAAGGTCCTGCCTTACTGGGGCAACGCGAAAGACCGCAAAGTGCTCCGCAAGTTCTGGGACAGGAAACACATTACCTACCGGGAAGATGCGATGTTCCACGTCTTGGTGACCTCGTACCAGCTTGTAGTACAGGATGCGCAGTACTTCCAGAAGATGAAGTGGCAGTATATGGTACTTGATGAAGCGCAAGCCATCAAGTCTTCACAGAGTTCGAGGTGGAAGAGCCTGCTCAGCTTTCACTGTCGGAATCGACTTCTGCTCACGGGTACACCCATCCAGAACAACATGCAAGAGCTATGGGCGCTCCTACATTTCATCATGCCTAGTCTCTTCGATTCGCATGATGAGTTCAGCGATTGGTTCTCAAAAGACATCGAGAGCCATGCGCAGAGTAACACCAAGCTCAACGAGGACCAGCTCAAGCGCTTGCACATGATCCTCAAGCCCTTCATGTTGCGGCGTATCAAGAAGCATGTGCAGAAGGAACTCGGCGACAAGATCGAGGAGGACGTCTTCTGCGACCTTACGTACCGGCAGCGAGCATACTACAGTGGTTTGCGCAACAAGATTAGCATCATGGACCTCATCGAGAAGGCCGCTGTCGGCGATGATCAGGACACTGCAACCTTGATGAACTTGGTCATGCAGTTCCGCAAGGTTTGCAACCATCCAGATCTCTTCGAGCGCGCGGATACCACTTCACCCTTCTCATTCTCCTATTTTGCGGAGACGGCATCGTTCATGCGGGAGGGCAACAGCGTCAACATGGGATACTCGGTCCGCAATATCGTCGAGTACGGACTGCCAAGGCTCATCGGTCGCAACGGAGGCCGCCTGGACATTCCTGGTCCGGACAATCAGAAGGCGGGCTGGAGAGGAAAGTACCTGTATCACATGATGAATATCTGGGATACGGAGAACATTCTGCACAGCTCACGCAGCAACGGCGCTTTCTCTTGGCTTCGATTCGCGGACGCGTCTGCCGGTGAGGTATCTTCCATCGCTCGGAGAGACATCTTCGAACGCGCTGTTCAGCTTCGACGATCACCACGACCCCTCGGAAGGTTTAAGGTATGCTACGACTCACAAGACGAGTCAGAGTACACACCGATCCATGCACTGTTCAACATCGCCCAGCAGAATGACCGCAAGCCGTTGGCTGAGATCACCGTGGAGGGCCGAATGCACGCACTGCTCAACGTTTCAAAGACTGCCTTCGAGGACACTGGCTTGGATGTCATTGAGCCTTGCGCCAGACCCGCCGTGACCGCACCTCCGATCGAGCTCTACTGCTCTAGCCAGGGCGTTGTGGCAGAGAAGCGAAAGGACTTCTTCAACCCACGAATACGACAAGCCCTCTACGACATCTCCGTAAAGACAGAGCAAGCTCTCCTCGAAGCGAAGGTCCCTCCATCCCGCTACCCCACAACCAATATGCTTCCGGAACCAACCTCCCGCAAATCGCGCTACACCCACATCCAAGTCCCTTCAATGCGGCGCTTCGTCACCGACTCCGGCAAGCTCGCGAAGCTTGACCAGCTGCTGCGCCAGCTAAAGGAAGGCGGCCACCGCGTGCTGCTCTACTTCCAAATGACACGTATGATTGACCTCATGGAAGAGTACCTCACCTACCGCAACTACAAATACTGCCGGCTGGACGGGTCGACAAAACTCGAGGACCGCCGCGACACGGTGGCAGACTTCCAAACCCGGCCCGAGATCTTCGTCTTCCTGCTCTCTACTCGGGCCGGCGGCCTCGGCATCAATCTCACGAGCGCTGATACGGTCATCTTCTACGACAGCGACTGGAACCCCACAATCGACAGCCAGGCCATGGACCGCGCGCACAGACTGGGTCAGACGAAGCAAGTAACCGTGTACCGGATGATCACGCGGGGCACGATCGAAGAGCGCATCCGCAAGCGCGCGCTCCAAAAGGAGGAGGTCCAGCGCGTCGTCATCTCTGGCGGAGCAGGCGCGCAGGTCGACTTCAACACGCGCAGCCGCGAGAACAGGACCAAGGACATTGCCATGTGGCTCGCGGACGATGAGCAGGCCGCCCAGATCGAGAAGAAGGAGGCCGAGATTGCGGAGGCAGAGAAGACGGCGCCGCAGGGGAGGAAGAAGAAGGGAGGCAGGAAGGGGAAGGACGTTAGTCTGGACGACATGTATCATGAGGGTGAGTCCCATCTTCCCTACCCAAGTCCGATTTGGAGCTTTGTACTGACAACGCTGTAGGTGAGGGCCACTTCGACGACGGCAGCACCAAGCCCTCGGGCGCGGCTACGCCTATTCCTACAGCGGAGGCCCCGATGAAGGGCAAGAAGAAGGGTACTTCGAAGAAAGCGAAGACGCTGAAGCAGCGGCTTGCTATTGCGGATGCGGAGGGCGATATGGGCTTGGGAGGGGGCATGTAATCTATTATCGGGACACCTGAAGGACTGATTTGCATTGCGAGGACGCCGGATTGAAGCGTGGGGTCTGCGGGCTTTGACCTGTGTGAGCGTCTAGAGTCCGCTTAGGCAGTAGTGTACCATGGTGTATTATTCTTCGAGGGCATGCACCTGCGTGGAGCCAAAATCGGCTGTTTTCTGAAGCTTTTGAGATATAAGGCTGATGAGCTGCGTCTATGCTTGCACATGTGATGTTGCTGGAGGACTGACTTCTTACTACGCTTAGCCGGTCGTTGTGTTCAGCGTGTTGCACCTCCGCGCATCCCCATACACGGCCATGGACCAGGGCGGATAGCTTTGTCGGATCCGCCGCTATGTGCTTGGATACCAGATCAGTAGAGTAGGCTTGAAATGCGATGGGTGACACTAAAGGGCCGCCGGTGAGTTTATTCAGCGAGCACTGCCTTGCACGCTGCTGAGATAGAGTAGGAGGAGTGGATTTATTGCTGAAGTGGCGGAGTGAAAGTTCAAGGTACGCCGGTTGAAGAGGATTCATAGAGTACGTGGTATGTAAGAGTATATAATGGCCTTCTGGCCTTCTTTCGCTAATACAAGGACAGAGTAACGAGCCCGTCGTTCAGTATAACGAGCTTGTCCCTGCAAAACAACAAGCACCGCAGCGTACGCCACTGTAGCAATAAGAAGTTCCCGTGGCGGACCTTCTGAATAAATCGCTCCGATAACGGCAAAGGCGAGTACACAGACAGACACTGTCAGAACCGTAAAGGCTATATTGGATGCGGAGGCTCAAGAGCATACTATCTAAGCAACAGATTATGTCGCACAGCACTATCGACAAGGATGAGGGCGATCATGTCGATGAAGCAGGTGCTTAAGATATCCAAGGTGCGCGTGAAATGTGCGATCGGTCTGCTGGAGGTAAGCTCGAGGAGTCGAAAGCTCCTTATCTTGTACAGGTAGATAGATAAGAAAGCTTTAGGTGTATGTCATTACCGAGCTGAACGTCGCTTGATTCATCTTATATCATTGGTGTGTATATGAGTACCTTTTTATGATCATACAATGCACCATTACCCAGTCCCTATCTCCATATATCAGGCATCTCAAACCGCCTCGGTATGCTCCACTTTGACTATGTGCTCCTTCAGGCCAGTACCCTGTAGCCTGCGAGCCACCTCATCTGTCAAGTAGTCCTCCACATTTGGGCATATTACTGCTGACACTAAGAGGATGGCCCCAAAAGGCAGAGTGCATAGGAACACCGTCCGGAAGGACATGGAGTAAGCGTGCTTAACGGCCTGTCTGACGGTACTGATTATATCTGGGGTGATGCCCGGTACAGTCGTAAAGTCGCCTGCCGTGATGGCCGCGAACAGGGCTGGTATGCTCGCTTGGGGAAGACCAGCCGCGGCTGCTGCTGGCGGTACGTATTGCGGTAGGAACCTCGACAGCTCCGTTGTGAGGATACTAGAGTACATGCTCACAGCGATAGCACCTGCTGCTGTACGAATGGCTCCTAATGTTCCAGCCACCAGACCAATGTCATCCGGCTCCCACACAAGAGCCATAGTTGAGAGCGTAAGATTCTCGACATAGCCGGCAGCCGCGGTGCCAATAACGAGGAAAGCGACCGCTCTGCTACGGGTGTTTTCGGTGCTAGAGGCGAGAGCAGCAACGAAGGCAACCAGAATAACGGACGCAACAGTCATCTGGATCTTCATCCGCGGGAGATAACGGACACCAATACCTGCCATGATCTGGCCTAGGAGCAAGCCACCTCCCACAGCACACTGAGCACCTTGTCAATATCATTCTTGGATCTGCTAGAAACGGCACTTACCGATAACCAGCCAATCTCCCCGACGTCTGTCGTGTATAGCGCTCCAACCATACTAGGCCATGCTACAGTTTGACTGTAGTATACCATGGCACCAATCGAGGCACAAGCGACGATAGCGTCGTATTTGATGTTGCGGAACAGTCTCATTGGCATAAGCGGATAGTCGAGCTTGCAAAAAGCTTCCCAGACGCAGAAAATCGCTAGAGTGGCGATCCCGGCGAGAAGAGCTCCGAGAACCTGCCCCGACCTCCACGGATATACAGAGCCGCCCCAGTTGAGACCGATAAGGAACACCGTAAGGCCCATGGTAAAGAGGAAGATTCCGAGCCAGTCAAGGGATCTGAGTTGGCGCATCTTGGATTTTCCACCTACGTGCAGCATTTCCTGTGTGCCAAAACATCAGTTCTGCGTCGGACAGATATTCCCAAGAGATGAATTGCGATTTGCAGGACTTACATAGGTGGGTGGATGGTAGAAAAAGAAGTATAGCACTATCGCTACGACATTGACGATCACGCCAAGAATATAACTCCATCTCCACTGAAGGGCCAAGTTCTCGTAGAACGCTCGAGCTATCGGTGGACCAAACACCGCGAAAGGAAGCGAAGTGGACAGGACGATGGCGTTTACAGGACCACGGGCTTTGTTGGAGACCAGCTCGCCCATGACTACGGAGAATGAAAGCTGACCTGCGGCCGCAAGACCATTAATTGTGTTGGTTGCCTGTCAGATGGAGTGTTGTCAGCCGGCTGGTCTCGCAAAAGAATCATCGTACTGGCAAAGGAGCGGCTACTCACAATCAGCATGTCAATACTCTGTGCAGAGGCTCCGATGATGTTGCCAATGAGAGCGAGAATCGAGGAGCAGATGAAGAACCATCTCCGGCCGAATATATCCGAGAGACGTCCTACGAGCAGAAATCCGACAGCGAAACCTGTGGTCCAACTAACCGCGACCCAGATGATATTGGGGCTGGGTCCGATGGCCTGATTGATGAGCACCAATGTATTGGCAGGTAAGACCCATCCAAGATAACCCGAGATGCCGGCCATGCACGTAGCCTATATCTTTCGATCAGCATCCCACTCTTGGATGGATAATAGACGGGCGCCATTGAGGGCTTACAGTCATGGTTCCAACGAAGCTGGGACTTGTGTAGCTGATCTGATGAGCTCGACCTCCGATAGCCTCGGCAGCGACATGGTCGTGGTGAAGCTCGATCGTGGTTGGATGTCGATGCTCCTGCCCGTCCGACATGACTTCGAAATGTGGTGCTTTCTCGTGAGCCATAGATGCTTGTGAATAAGGGGCTGCACAGGATAGGTGAAGTGGCAGTAACCTTCTTCAGGGGGACTGACCCAGTTTTATCATTGAGGGATGAGCTGCATGGAGCTCAAGCTTGAGCTCAGGCGCATCGCGAACTACCATACTTGAAGAGCGGCTATCTCTAGTGTTTCGGAAAAGCTCTCTCGGCAACCATGCCTGCAGATGCCTTATGGGAAGCTGTCCTTGGCGACGACGACCTTGATTAGCCTCCACCCGCAGCCTGTGCTTCGGCGCCCAAACTGGATAAGCATGGACCCCTCCATGCGAAGACGCCCCGGACCTTAGGTATTCCAGAACTGCGGGCCCGGATCTGCGCCGGCTACAGGTTAACGTTCTCCGGGAGGAAGCCTAGACCAGCCGCAAGCCGCGCTCACGTGAAGACACCTCTACTGGAACTTCAGCTTTCGTGCTCTATTAGAAGCTGTAGCGCTTGAGGATATAGTTAGGTCCAATTGGTTTCCATATGTATCCGAGCATGCCGGTCGAGTAGGAAGATGGTCGGCATTCAGTGCGCCGAGAAGACACATGGAGTCAAAAGCCGTACGTTCTGGCTTCGAAACTCGAGATCTTCCCATGTACTCAATGGAGATGATACAAGAGTTCCTATGGCGAACCATCCAGATGCATTTACAGCTTTGGCCTCGATCCATTCAACATAGGGTCTAGAGCTGTTGGCCGAGTCATTGATCGACTGCTTCAAGACTCTGTCGATCGATGCCTTCGGTATCGGCCAGGAAGTGTTTTCTTCCACATGCCATTTCTCTGTTTCCTTATCAAATGACAGCATTCCATCCCCATGTAGCCGTAGCGCGCTTGAATTGACTTGTCGCGAATCTCCAAAGTATGTGCATGTTGCTTAAATGACGGGCTGAAACACATTACTATCTTCAGTGGACAACAGCTGGATCTTCTTTGCGCGCGCAATCTGACTAGACAAAAGCTCGAGCTGGTTTTGCCTCTACAGGGTCCCAAGAAGCCAGATGAGATGCCCGTTAGGGACAGAGGCAGCCGCTGTGAGCGTAATGTTTGTCCGTCCATCTTCGACAAGGCTGGCAACCGCTTGGTATATAAGGCGTGTCTGCGGCTCGTGAAGCTATTGGCCAAGGATCTGCTCTGGTTCGGAACCGATACGGCGAAGCGCCGGGCGACGCCACGGGTGCAGTTTCTGCTAGTTAGCGACGAAGAGTTTTCGAAGGACGCGGTCTCTGAGGGTGTGTTTCCGTGCTGGCCGACGCATCTCTTCTCGACGAAGCCCAGGAAGCATCCGGATTCGTGACAGGCGGAGATTTGGGCTCGAGTTACCGGCGGCGCGTCGTTCAAGGCAGGTTGGGAAGATGATGTCGATCTGCCCTTCTGCAAAGTTCTGGGCCTGTGGAGAGCCACGAGGCGGCAACCACACCCAGGACACGGAAACAGATATTGGACGATGCGAAGCGGAGAATATCAGAAACAAATTCTACCAGAGAGGCCACATGAAATATTATTTGCTACAAGAGCACTAGGCTATGCTCATCTTCTGTTTCGTGTGCAGTGTAGTAATCGTAAGCAGATTCTGGCACCTGCAATATACCAACGCGCTGGTATTCGTTCTTCTTGGTCGAAGTAGGCTTCAAGGCAAGAGCCTCGAGGTATCGCTTCGGCTTTGCCTCTTTTTCACCCCTGCATGGACGGGTGCAGCAGCACTCCCACATCGTCAGAAACACTAGGTCTTGTTGATAGTAAGGTTCTTCATCTCGGTTGTCGACAATGAACTCCAGCCTAGTGTTGTTCCGTAATGGTCCGACGACCTTGTCGCCACTACCACAGGTGAAATCAAATGTATATCCGAACATCCAGTCGGGGGATTCGTGCATACTGATCGTCGCAGAGACTAACTTGCTTCGCAATCGCAAAGAGGCATTTTTGAGCTGGCCGGACTGGGTTTCGTCATGTTCGATTGCCTCTACTATGACTCGGTGCCGAAGATTTGTGCAATTCTCATGGTGTCGAAAGTGGCCTGGGTGTATTTCAACATTGCTACCTGCCCAACTCCATGTCGGCGCTCGGTAACTTTGCGTTGCGAAAGGCCTGAAGATTTCTCTTGAATCGATGCTTCTCATCCAGCAGAGCTCCTGAATCAATCGGTCTTTCCAAAGGCCGGCAATAAGCGTGTCTTTAGTAACCTTTGATAGCCGCCGCTGAACACCATTGATGGCAATCAATATGTCGTTCTCCTTTGACAGCCCGCATCTTGTGTAATTTCTAATGAGAATCTGCCATGCTTCATGTAACTCATCCCGCCACGTCTTGCTCTCTCTTGTACCAAAGAAGATTCGCTTCAACCGGACGCTGTCTTCGAGCCAAAAAGGCAGAGCTAGCTTGGGGACTGAAATGGGAAATGCCTCACTAGACCTATTCTCCAGGCATTCCCAGAACACCTGAGAAACTGAAAAGTGCATGATCCTGGTTGAAAGGAATCGCTCTTGCACCACCCATGCTCTTTGGTTCAGCTTACCGTGCTCCAAATCTTGGAGCCAGTCATCGCAGGGAAAGAGTGTGTACATGCCACTATGCTCGGTTGTGATTTTATACCCACGGCCATCACCAGATCTCTTGCGATAATCCAAGGTGAAGTCCGCATGAATCCGAAAGCTGCAGATTAAATCCGAATCTCGTTTGAAGAAAAGTCAAATTGAGCCGTTTGGGGCAGCCGTAGCCGCTATGTTGAAAAGACAGCTCGAGTATACGTCACACATAGTCGCTGCCTGGGAATGCCAGTCCCTTATGTCGTCTTGGAAAATACAAAGGCTGTCTATCCAAAGATAACGGATACAGAACTCTCTCGTGATCATAACCTACTAGACTTAGAGATACAATAATATAATAATACCTTTAAATATTAATAGATTTATACTTTTAATACTACTCTTTCTTATCTAGAAAGCTAAATTATTATATTATATCTTATTATTACTCTATACTATAGAGAATTTAGAGACTTTATAGTAGTATAAATACAACCCTTGCTTAATATACTATTTTGATTTTTCTTAATAGGTTTAAGCTATTTCCGGATTTCCTAGATAGATCTAAGCCTTCTTTTAGATACTCTAAATATACTTAAGCCTATTACGGGAATATAGCGCGTTTCTTTTAAACTTGTTTTATCTCTTCTCTTTAACCTCTTTAAAGTGTTGTTTCTACTTCGAGCGTATAGAATTATATATAGTGTAATTATTTATTTAGCTCTTATAAAGTTAACTTAATCTTATTTCTAAGTAGTCTACCTCTATATAATATTATTTAATAACTTCTAAAGACCTAAAAAGAGAGGTTGGCCTACTAAGTACTTATCTAATAATAAGAGAAAGCAGGCGGATACGAAAAGAAAACGAATCGTAAGATAGAGTAAAACTACTATATAGTAAGAAATCTAATTCGACTAAATTTATATTAGATCCTACTTATATATTATATTATAGAGTCCCGGCTTAATATTATAATTATATTAGTAAGTTCTATATAAACTAAATATACTTATAGATAATATAGCTACTATGTAATTTAATACTAAAGAAGCTAGACTAAGGAGAAATACGGCTCTCTTAATTAAGAGTAATAACCTTAGATAGTTACTTCTACCTCTTAGTCTCTTACGTAGTTCTTTCCTAGACTATATTTATATTAATCTTAATAACATTTCAGACTTGCCTATACTTATTAATACTATACGTGTAGGAAGTATTAAGGAGTTAAGAGAAATTATGTAAGAAAATACTATAGCAACTAATATATAGATATACGGTAATATAACTAGAGATAGAGAAGCTATTATAGCTAATATATTAATTAATAGTAGTATGGATAAAGTTAATAAGCTTACTAGTTAGTTAGTAGACTAACTAATTTAGTACTAGAAATACTATTAGTACTACTATAAGTAGTCTTAAGATAAGTACGCAGAAAAGTATATATATTATTTTAGGCTATAGAAGTATCTAGATAGTATAAGCGAAGCTATAAGTTATTTAAATATACTAGGTTAGTAATAATAGCAAGCTGCGAAGCGAATCTTACTAGGCAGATAACTATAGAGGCTAAGCGCTATATATTTTATAGATTTAAGGAGGAGAATCCTATTTTAACGCTATTCTATATTTATTTAGAAGCTAATATAAGAACTAGAGTGAGGCTTTTCTAGTTCTACTAAGCTAGAACGGGCGAATAGCTTAGTAATATCTTAGGTAATTATAGGCCGAGGTTATAAAGAGGTTATAAAAGTACTAGTAGCCTTTTTAGGGCTAGTAGATTATAAGATATTAGAAGAATT